TAAAACTGCTTCTGCTCCCTGAAGGAGCAGAAGCAGAAGTTGGAGTGTTTGGGTGAAAGTGCAGAAGTGATTCTGGTGCTCTAATTTACTCCTAGAATCAGTTTTTTTAGAAGCAGGGGGTGACCAGCTTCTGAAAACTGATTCTGATTCTGCTTCTGCTTTAAAAAAGAAGCCGAAGCAGAATCAGTTCCAAACACCCTCTAAGTTAAATGACTTTATATCCAATGCTATGTATATGCGAAGTATGTTGCATAAAACGTGATAAATGTAACACTTTTAAATAATGTTACGTGAGCGAATGTTACAAGTAAAGTTATCATTTAATGCAACACTAATAAAACAAGTGTTACATAATACATGATAATTTGCAACACTTCTCAAAGTGTTACGTAAATGTAAAATTCGCATGCTAATGTAACATTTATAAATGAGTGTTACTTAATTCAATATTGTAATGCAATATGTAACAAACAGAAAAGTGTTACAAACAAAATGTTACAAAAAGTGTATTTTGGTGTAGTGTGTATATCTATTAGATGTCATCCACATCAGTACTTTATAGTTTCAGGAAAGTACTGACCCCTTCGGGGACATCCCACCACGATTTCAGGTTAAGGCTAGTGCTTGCATCCTGTACTGTGGCAAACTTTTGATTTGAAACTTACATTTTCGAGGTTCGTAATGATGATGGGGGCGAAATAAAATAAACACGGCTGTAATAACTTTCAGGGGTATTAGGGTAAAAGAACTCCCTTAAGTAAAATAGGTCAAACTGTCCACAACAGTCTGATAATACAGAAATATACCCAATTTTTTGGTTTCGAACTTTTTTGATTATGCTCTGCTTATATCTCGACTCTTCTGGTTGACCAGACACTCTTCTGTTGCTCTAACATTGTTAGATTAGAACCAGAAAAACCAGTCAATTAGCCATCCATGAATGGTAAACTCTGAATCCCCACTTCGGTCCATTGAAACCCCTCCAATCACAGAGCAACGAAACAACGCAAAGTCGTCAGTCGAAAGAAAAGCCCTACACAAACTAGGTCAGACCGTTGTAAAAAAAGATAATATGAAATCGTGAAAGAAGAGTGGAAGGCGGTAGTGCCTACTGCCTAGGTAGGGCGAGAGTTCTCGCCGTAAATCCATAACCCTCAGTGGGGGTTTTTCACATATAATAAAAAGCCATTAAGGCCATATATTTATATCAATACAAATGTGAAAGATGTTTATGATATTTTTAATTGAATTGATTTCATTACAGACCAATCAAACTTAAATAGAGCACATCAGATCAGTTAAGACTTAAACATATTAGGTCAAATTATCAAACTTAGACACTAATAATATACACATCAACCAGACACATACTGAATCGAGGTTAAATAGATGGTACCAAAAAAAGTTAATAAATTTTGCACATTTAATATTGGTGTCATATCAAATATCGTAAAAGAAACTTTAATTTGATAATTTTGTTTTGTGAATATCCAAGCGCAAATGAAAGAGTTATACTACTTCTGTCTCATTCAAAGGTATCTATTCACTATTCTTCGGTCAACGTGAAATCTTTTAATCTTTTACTTTATTTATTCAATTTTTATCAAATTTAAGTTTTCCTTTTGCATCTTTAAAAAACTTTTAATGTAACTTCTGAATTTGTAAATTTTATTCATTAAGAAAACCTAATTACATATATAGAGTCTAGTTAACTTTATGGTTAGTGAAACATCATAACCGCGTGGGAACCGTTTTACGAGACAGAGAGAGTGACACTTTATGAAAAACAATTTATTAACGCATGGCCGCAATTCGTTAGATTTGGTTTTGTTCGAGTATGTTTGGTTCAGATATCTGGATATTTGGAGTACTATTGATATGCAGTGTTCCAGATCCGATCGTTTTAAACTTAAAATTGCTCGTCTCGTGTCTAGCGAGTCAAGGTTTTTTGTATAATGTGACTGACTCTATCTCTATTCATAGAGTTTATGATCGAATCTGTAATAACTATTTGAAATTTGACTTGTATGCATTTTCGATATTATTATCAAAGTCGCTCTTTTATATTAAAAAAATGCATGGCAGCAAATTGTTAGATTCAATTTTGCAGGTGATTCAATAAGTACGACATGATGGGGAAGGAAGTCAAATAATTTTTTGAAGATAATTGTGCTTTATATATATATATATATATATATATATATATATATATATATATATATATATATATATATATATAGATAGATAAACAACGCAGTCTTTTTAAATTACATGTTTGACTGTCTTCCCGAATAACTTTTTAGCTGAAATTTGGTATGGATAAACTAAAGTTGATGAAGAACATGCTTAAAATATTTCATCAAAAAATTCCACCGAGAAGGTCCCGAAAAGCCCTCGGCCGGCCGGAGGTTCCCATCAGGCCGGCTGGACATGAATTGTCCTCTATATACATACATACATATAGAGGAATGATCTTGTCAGGCGCGCCTGACAGGATGGGCAGTGCAGACTTGCCCGTTTGATTTTGTAAACGTTGTTGAGCATGTTCCTCATCAAGTCCAATTTATTCATACCATATTTAAGCTCAAAATTCAATCGAGAAGACACTTAAATAAATTCTTGAAACATAATGCGCATTATGTACATATATAAAGCGCAGTATGTTTCAAGAATTTATTTAACTACCTTCCCGATTGAATAGAGTGAAAGTGCAGAGGGATACGAGGGGGCCGTACGGGCATCCCCTTGTGATAAACGGCAAGATCATCTCCCGAGTGACATCCATCATCTGGGAAAGGTTGTCCGGGCTGGTTCGAGTCAGGTGCCTGTGAAGTTTTCCCCCTAGGACGAAGAATGAGCGACCTATCTTCTTCTTCTGAAGAGCCGGAGGAGAAAAACATAAAAAACAAGGACGTATCAAGGAAGTCTAAAGAGTTCTAGAGAGAGAAAGCTTAAAAAGGGGCAAAGAAAAGTGAAGAAGCAACAGAAAAAATGAAAGGTAAGCACCTCTACTTATAAAAGAAATTGCCGCCCAAAACCCTAACCCATGACAAACACGTGGCAGAATATGGTTGCGAGCAATTATGACATATTTATGATTATAAAGGCATGTACCCCGAACGATGTTCATTCCAACGATGGCAACAAAAATCCTAGTACGGCTGAATGGTTATCCCAAAGTATTCCCGAACGGGCAACATTTGAAGAATAAAAAATAATGTGAGGGGAGCCATCATCTTCGCTGATTTTGGGAAAGGGCTCTAAATTCTTTGTTGCATTGACTAACCCGAACGGGAAAATATAGAATTCAGACTAATGGGTCGGGAATGTTCTCTATCATAGCTACAGGTTTCCACCCGAACAAGGAGTCCTACTTATGGTTGACAAAGCGGATTCCTCATAACAATAGTCTGAATCATCTGAGCAGAAAGCTTGAGAAACGGCTAAGTCTTATAGAACTGGCCGAATCTCGGACGGCAAATCAAAGAATGATCAAATAAACGCGAGACACGGCTAAGTCCTATAAAACTTGCCGAATCTCGGATGGTAAACCAAAATGGAAACAAACAACGGATAATTAAATAGAGTATTGGGCAAAAAAGCTTCCATATATATTCATCGGCTCTATTGGCCGGCCGAGAGTTACATCAATGGAGATTAAGTTCTAAACAAAAAAGGTTACAAACCAAAGGAAGATGAAAAGCTAATCTACTGATAGGCAACTTCCTTGTCATTATAATCCTTGTCAAAAAGGATTATTCGTATATTCTTTTAAAATTAGTGGCTTGATTTCTTCCTCTTCATTCTTCGGAATTGTTCAGAGTCTCTCGGGAGTTCTTCAGAACTTTTCTGCAGCGTTTCTTCGATTGGAATTTCTCTCCCATTCCTCCCAACCGAGACCCCTTTTATAGGTGTAGAGGGGGCTAAATATGCACTAGGGTTTGGGAAATTCATCCATGCCTCTTGGGCTTCAATTAAAATGGGTTTTGGACTCCATTTGCTTGCATTTTAGTAGCTAGAAAAATCAGTGGTTGTGAGATGTATCTGAACAACCTTTTTAACAAGTTTCATGGCTATTTCTTGTGCATATGGATGGATTTCGTAACCAGGTTCATTGCTCTCTTTATTAATTGGATCATGCATCTTATGTATTGAGTCACTATTTGATAATGGGCTCAAAATTAATAGGACCGGTCTATTCTTGAAAAGCTCAATTTATGACTAAATTATTTTGGATATATTAAATAATCCAAATTAACTTAGTCACTAAATTTCTTCTCAAGGCGTTCATATCATTATCTTTTTTTATAAGGCCCAAAGACCATCACGAGCAGACTAGTAGAATTTAACGTTGGCCCAATAGCATTCGAAGGACACCCAGTATGATACAAAATAACACAGGTAGCATTTAAAAGCTTTGATTAATGCACAATCAAATCATTCAAATGCAAATCATTTAATACAAAAATAATAAACAGAGTATTATGGATCACCATAAAAATGATATGTCCAAAATATTAAATAATTTTCTGATATCTACAATCACATTAATTCTCATCAATAAAAAGTCATACGTGAATACCGTATTGGAAGAAGGAGATATGAACAAGGATAAAAGTAATACTCCCTTCTTTCCATAGAGAGGTTCCTTATTCAGTTTACGATGTTTGACTCACGAAGTAATACACTCTGATTATTTTTAGTAAATACTGTAAAATTTATAATCAGAAACTAGATTGAAAATTTTACAAAGCCTGATCAAGAAAATTTAAATTTGATAAAAAATTCGTATATAAAGCAAATGATTAAGAATGATTTAAGTTAATCATGTGAATAGTGATTTGGAACATTTGCTTTGTATGAGACATTGGTAGTATTAATGATTCTGGTTGGTCATTAATACAAAGGTTTGGAACCTTTGTATTAATGGGAGGAGTCCACCAACCAACCCTATTGTCCTATTGAAATTGAAAATCCAAGTATCTCACTCTTATAATTATGATACTTCAAATTTATAATGCACTCCAATCCTTAGTGTAGTTTAATTTGATCATTACAAAGTATATACCCGAGTATCATATATGACAGGTCAGTACCTTTTGAAATAAAGAGTACACTACCAGAATAAAGCCCACGACGCATATATATTGTACGTAATATCCATGCATGCATATTATTATATTAATTAAGATACGAGTAGTATACGTGGAAGCGCTTAATTAGCTAGTTCTTGAAGAGCTCCAAACTGTGCTGCTGCTTCAGGGCCCCGCTCGAGAACTTGCTGTAATACTCTTGATAGGTAAATTTCCGATAAACCGCCGTAGACCCGTCTTGGGTAAGCGACTCCGGGGCGCTGATTACGGCGTCGTTTTCTGGGCAGAGGAACGAAGCCACCGACACTCTTGCTCTGTCGGTGTTCACTATAGCTCTATGCCACACACTCTTGTACTTGCCATTACTAAGTGCCTGCTCACCCATCACAAATTGAGTTACGATTGATTCTTGATGTTAAATATCTTATTGAGCTATTTTTACATAGTAACCTTTATCATATACGAGTAGTAGTTGCCGGATTCGAACCTGAGACTCACAAGAATGTGGCAAACACTATGTACCAGTTGATGAGTTACGCGCACCGGCATTCTTAATGTTATTATTATTAGTGCCTTATAAGTAGGTGTTTCTAGTAGTTAATTTTTTCACTTTAAACCCAAAATGTATAACTTTGGGAAATTGTGCTAAAACTTTTCTAACTAATTTTTTACTGATTTAAGTTAAGATGACAAACAACATTTTTTGAAAACATTTTAACTCTACTTTACCTTAATATCTCTTTTATTTTCAAAGGTTATCTCTTTCGCCAATTAAACACTCTTTATGTCTCTTCAGACTTTGTTTATATATGTCAAATACTTTATCATTTTTATTTAAAGTTATTAATTAGTGATTATACTTATTTCGATCTTTTTCTTCTTCACAAACTTTAAACATGCAATTTCTACTTTTCTTATCCAATATCCAACTCAAATTTGCCAAGTCCAATGGGTCGAAAGTAGTACATTTGTTATGCTCTTTAAAATATTCCCATTGTCTCGAAAATTTAATCAAGTTTGACTTACACATACAATACTCCGTAATACAGTGAAAATTATGTGGTTGAGATTTGTGTAGAAGAAAGATAAATAATTTCAAGGGAAATTACTCTAAATAAGAGTAAAATCGTTTTAAAATTCCAAAATATGACCTTTATGCTTAAAAAAGGAATATTCGCAATAGTGATAACAAATATTGTCATGTTAATGTCTAGTGCATGCTATAATTAGTTTGGTAGTAATGACTCCCAGATGGTAGTAAATACTACTCTGTACTATGTTAATCATATTTCAAGAAGAAAAACATATATAGTCATTGTTTTTTGGAATTTGAAAATTTGTTTGCTCATATTTCATATATTTTTCCCTAATTTTAATCACATAATCCTTATTTATTACTCCGTATTACTTTAAAATAAAATGACAAAGTTTTTAGGATGATTAAATAAAGAAGTTTAGTAAAGTTTTACATTATGTAACAAAGAGGAAGTAAATTACACTTCAAAATAAGAAAAAAAAAGACTACCTTAATTTCTATCAAGTGGTATCATATATGTGTTGTTAAGAGCTAGGATGTTCTTACTTGGACTATTTTCAGTTCACCAAACTTAAAAGACCAGACCAGACCAGACTGGACCAGACCAGACCAGCCCAGACCAGACTTGACTTCCGTAGTTATAAAATAAAATAACACCAGACAATTACCGGACCAGACAAGACCAGACTTAAACAGACTAGATCAGACCAACAAATTATAGTCCAAGAAAACACATCCCTAGATGGGTACCTGAAGTTGATCACCAATGTTGATGACGAAGGCATCTGGGCGGGGCTTGATGGTCAACCATTTTCCTTCTTTGAGGACCTGGAGTCCGGCAACATGTGAATCTTGAAGAAGAATGGTTAGGGTATTCGGGTCGGTGTGAGCCGGCAACCCGTAGGTCAATTCGGGTTGGGGGCATGGCGGGTAGTAGTTGACCGCCATGATGTGTTGACCTTGTTCACCCATCATGTTCTTGATGCATTTTGGGTCGAGTCCTAGGCTCTCAGATATGGCTTCCTCTATTCTAAACCCAACTTCATGAACCATGGTTACATAGGTCTTCACCACTTCCCTGTTCAGAAGCGAGCCATTCCAGTTGTGTCAATAGTTCACTCAATACTATTTAATTATGTCCCACTAACATTGAGACATGATGAATATGCGACATATAGTTATTAAGAAAAGTGGATTTATGTGATTCAATTTGAAATGATAAAATAAAAATAAAGTAAAATTGATTTAGAACCACACATGCTTTACCAAATGTCATATGAGACAATATAAGTGGGATGAATCGAAAGAGAAAGACGAGACAATCTTAGCGGCACAGAGAGAGTATAACTTAACATACTCTAACACGTGAGGAAAAAAATCGGTATTTTAAATGCATTAAAGACATCTTTCTTTGTATTTAATAATAATGTTAAGGGTGATGCTTTACAACATGTTCATCTAGTATAGTTGTATGAGAAGTTCTCGTATCAATTTTCAAAAACAAACAAAATAATTGTTCGTTATCGTTTAAAGAAAATAACAACATACATTTGCAATTTCAGCCCCTTCACTTTTGGTGGTACTCGTTGGTGGTACTCATTCAGCTTTTAATTTTATAACTTTATTTATTTGCAGATTTGATCTTGTTACTAATGCATATGTGCAATTTAAGGATCGTTCTACTAGAGAGTACATTTTTCATAAAAATATTGGAAATGACATTGCTAGTGTCAATTTTTTTGCCCGAAAAGGTACTTTCTAGAGAATATTTTTTCCAGCTTTGTTAGTTACATAATCAGATCTTTAAGCGATTAAAATCATAGAAAACTGAAAGTTAGACTATCACCGACATTAATACTATGAATGGCCCAACAAAATAAAAAATGATAATCTACACTAGGAAGGTTATCTAAGATGGTGTGATCTATCTACTCAAATCAGGTAATTAAATAGTTGCGGGTTGCTTTACATGGTCCACAAAAGTATTTAATTCGTGTTATTATCATTATAATAGTCAACCAATTAGTTCATGAACGTTGTTTAATCATCGCTAACTACTAGCCTAGTACTACATAGGTTAAATAAATGTCAAAAACAATGGGCAACGTAGCGTATACGGAGTCTCCGACCAACTAATAAGAGTTCCGTTTACACTTTTTTATGTATAACAATGTATAACTTTCATACATTCGTCTGTCTCACGCAATACAGAAGTTTCTATAAATAGACAATTTTATATGGATTAGTGTACAAAATGTGTACACCAAACAATTTTTCAACTAATAAATGCAGCAATTCTAGCAGCCGTCATCATATTCCGTAGTACTATGAATGTTAATTAAGGATGTGTTTACTTGAACTGGAATTTTCTCATCTGGTCCGGTCTATCTAGCATAATGAGGTCTGGATTGGTCTGATCAGGCCTGCTCTGATATGGTCCAATCTGATCTGGTCTGGTAAATGTCTGGACTTTATATATATTATAACTTTCCAAGTCTGGTCTGGTCTGGGCTGATATGATCTGATCTGACTTGGACTTTAACGTTTTGAAAACTATAAATTATTATCTCAAATTTATTTACCTAAGGCTTAGTTGACTTGTTATTTAATTGGGAAATTTACTATTAACCCCCTGAGGTTATGTCATAATTATTAATGCAACCTTGCATTTTCAAAAATCAATTAGTTACCCCCTGAGTTTGGATAATTCTCGTTCTTTGCCCCCTCACGTTAATATTTGTTAAATTTAAATTTAATATAATTCTTAAATTCAATGAAAAATGTCTATAGAATAATTTTTAATGTAAAACACAAATTATTATTATAATTATAAGTCATTGTTGTTGATCGTTATTTTTCTACTTAGCTACGTACTCCATCATGGAATAAATATTATTGAGAGGAATTAAGAGAAAATACTCACAAGTAAAATATAAAAATATCACGAATTTTAATATTTTTATTTTAAAAAATTAAAATCATTTACTCTTATAAAACTAATAAACTTTTGACAGAAAAAAAACTTTTGTGAAGTTATAATTATCGCAAATTAGTAACAGAGTTGATAAAAATTTTAAATAAATTAAAATCTATGATATTTTAGGTCTTAGCTTTCAATTATTCAGATCATGGAATAATTGGAATAATCATCACATGTTTTGTCTTTTAGGTCTCTTATTGATACTAAACCTATCTTTTAGGTCATGGAATGACAAAGAAAATCTTGGTATTTCTTCATTGCTACACACGAAAGAAATGTTATTGCGATTAATTCAACCAAATAAATTACAAATAAGACTTATATATTCATAATGAAAAAGTGCCTAGAATTTTGATAACACATTTTATAAACAATTCTTTTTATACGGAGTATATCCCATGAATATGACTCGTGAGTCCTCCCCTTAACTACTCTCATTAATACTTACTCCACGATCGAGTAGTTACGTAGAAAAGCAAATGATCACCAACAATGACTTATAATTATGATGATAAATTGTTTTATATTTTAAAAATTAATGTTATATACAAATTCCGTTGAATGTAAGAAGTATATTAAATTTAATTTAACAAATATTAACGTGAGGGGGTATACAATGAGAATGATCAGAACTTAGGGGGTAACTAATTGATTTTTGAAAATGCAAGGTTGCATTAATAAATATGATATAACCCCAGGGGACTAATAATAATTTTCTCTATTTAATTTTCATTTATCAAAATGACTACTAAACCTTTATTCGTGAGAAAATTACCAGGAGTGTGATTAAAAGATAGAGTTGATAGCTATTTCTCTCACTAGAAAACTTCTAGGTTGCTCTACCGCCCTCCGGCACTGCCACTCGTGGCGGCCGCCGCCGCTGGAGCCCTCCTGGCTCCGGTAGGCTTCAAGGTTGTCTTTCTATGGTTTTTTGGAAAAAGGGTTACTTGGGTTTTGATGGTTTGATGTTGAAGTTCTTCATTGTGATTGAATGGGTTTCTGAATAGGCTGGTTCGTAGCTGAAAAGGAGTCATGGCCGCTCTGTATTCAAAGTCTTCACTGTTGGCGGCCGTGGGATCTTTGGAGTTTTTTTTGACTTGGTGACGTAAGGTGATGGTTGTGGTCTGGTGTGCGTCGGAACTCCTGGAAGGTTATGTACTGGTTTCTTGATTGGGGGGTCTATGGCTGATTTACAGGGATGTAAGCAAGTCAAGACTCACTGGTAGATGCAACAAGAGGGGGTCTGGTGGTGTCACGATCATCGGTTTATGCTTCAGAAGATGTCTGCCGTGTCCATTCTCGACTTTCCTGTTCGTTCACAACTAGAGCGAAAGCTCGCTGGTGGTTGCAGCAGTGTCGTCCTCAGACGTAGCAACAGCACGGTTGGGGAATACTTAAGATTCAGAGAACGGTGGATGGGGACGCTCGTTAATGGATTCTTAGGCTCCCGGAATGTTCAGGACCTTCTCGCTTCTCTTTGCTGCTTCAGAGAGCCTACAGATGATTCTCTCACCAAGGTTGATGGTGTTCCTGGTGGCAGCTTCGGGTTAGAGGGTCCCGAAGCAGGTCTCTCACGCGGCCATCTTCCATAACTGCTTCGTTACGGATCCCGTGCTGGGCCAAAGCTGGGGTTTGGAGTTCGCAGTCACCGGCGGCCGCCTTCTGAAAACGAGTTTTTACTCTGGTACGTTCTTGTTAGTCAACCTTTCTGTTGTGGACACCTCTGACTCAAGACGTGTTGGTGCACGCTATACTAATTTATTGAAGGATATGAATGCTTAAAACTCACTTATATTAAACTGAAATGGATCAAGCCTTTATAGGCATTGCAAAGAAAACTAAGTGCAGCACGTGAACCTCAACTTACTCCTAAGTTTAAGGTGTGTCCACACGTTCAAAATAGAGGGATAACAATGACTCCAACAACTCCTAAAAACCAGCTAACCATATTGGACTTATTCAAATAAGTAATTTAATAAATAAATGAATAGCTAAATGACTAAATTCCATGTGTGCATGGCTCCATGCAAGCTTGATCATATTAGTCAACACCTCCCCTTGATCCAAGCTTGCACATTCCGATTCTTTTCATGAAATGATAATGCTTAGCATGATTCAAAGCCTTGGTAAACAAATCTGCATTTTGCCAGTAAGTTCCACAGAATTCCAATGATATTTTCTTCTCAACTACAAACTCCCTTATGAAATGATGTTGAACATCAATGTGTTTAGTCCTTGCGTGAAACGTAGGATTCTTTGCCATGGCTATTGCTGACATATTGTCACACCAGATCTCAGGTTCTTATTCTTGATTGCAGCATAAGTCTTTCAGCAACTTCTTTAGCCATAAAGCCTGCTTTGCTGCAGCCCCTGCAGCCACATACTCAGCTTCTGAGGTTGATAGAGCCACGGTTTCTTGTTTCTTTGAACTCCATGTAATAGCACCTGTACCCAGGTCAAATACTGATCCAGATGTGCTTTTCCTATCATCCACACATCCAGCCCAGTCACTATCGGTGTATCCTCTCAGCTTGAAGTCTTTTACACTTGAATACATGGTGCCATACTCAAGTGTGCCAGAGATGTACTTCAGAATTCTTTTTGCTGCTCCCAGGTGTTGTCTGGTAGAAGAGTGCATATACTTGGATACTATGCTCACACTGAGAGCAATATCAAGCAGAGAATGAGTAAGATAATTCAATCCTCCTACCATGCTTCTATAAAGTCTTTCATCTGCCTTTTCAGTCCCATCACTTTTCTGTAGTTTCTCACTGATGTTCATTGGAGTCTTAGCAGCCTCACACTTCTCCATATGAAATCTCTTGAGCAAGTCTTTAGCATACTTGTTCTGACTCAAAAAAAATGTCATGTCTATCCTGCTTAATCTCAAGCCCAAGAAAGTAATGCAGCATGCCCAAGTCAGTCATTTCACACTCTCGGGTCATCACTTTCTTGAACTCATCTAACATACTCTGTGAAGAGCTAAGGTATACTATATCATCCACATATAGACACACTATAATAAAGTCAGTCATACCTTGCTTCTTCACATAAAGAGTAGGTTCATTTTCACTTCTTACAAACCCTTTTTTGATGAAAAAAAGTCTATTCTGCTGTACCAAGCCCTGGGTGCTTGTTTGAGCCCATACAATGCCTTATGCAGTTTGTAAACCTTGTTTTCATCCCCTTCCTTCACAAACCCTTATAGTTGTTCAACAAAGACCACCTCACTCAGTTCACCATTAAGGAAGGCTGATTTCACATCTAGTTGATATACTGGTAGTCTCCATTGAGCTGCCAGTGCAAGAACAACTCTGACTGTCTCAAATCTTGCCACAAGAGAGAAAGTTTCTTCATAATCAATGCCCTCCTTTTGTGCATACCCTTTTGCCACTAACCGGGCCTTATGCTTGGATATAGTTCCATCTGGGTTATACTTAGTTTTGTATACCCATTTTAAACCTATTACACTCCTATCACTAGGCAATGTAACAAGTTCCCAGGTGCCATTCCTTTCAGTGGCTTTAATCTCTTCTTCCATTGCATGCTTCCATTCAATTTGAGTTACAACTTCCTTAAAGACTGTAGGTTCACTGGCTAGTAGAGCAAAATCACATGATTCATAAATGTCAATTAAGGATCTTACCTTGGGTGGAGGTGAGTCACTCTCAGATTCTGATGATGACTGACTACTAGAGGAGCTAGTAGAAGTGGAAGGAGTTGATGAAGGTGTTGGAGGTGGTTGCTCATCCCTAGTCTCAGCATGATCATCAAAGGATACTGTAGTCTTCACATTGTCATCTTGCTAACCCTTATCAGTCCATGACCAGGTGCCATCCTCATCAAATATCACATTCCTACTAATGATTATTTTACCAGAGAGAAGGTTAAATAATTTGTAGGCTTTAGACTGAACTGAGTAGCCCACAAAGATACATTTGTCAGCTTTGTCCTCCAATTTGGATCTTTAATTCACTAGTGTATAAGCAATACACCCAAAGATCCTCAAATGTCCAACTGAAGGCTTTTTCATCCTCCATACCTCAAAGGGAGTTGAATTCATCACTGCCCTTGTAGGTGAAATGTTGAGCAAGTATACTGCAGTGGCTACAACTTCTCCCCGGAAGGAGTTAGGTAGGTTTTTAGCCTTTAGCATGCACCTAACCATTTCTACCACAGTTCTGTTCTTCCTCTCCGCTACCCCATTTTGCTCAGGGGTATATGGTGTTGTCAGTTCCCTTCTGATCCCCTGATCTTCACAGTATTGAGTAAACTCTTTGGAAACAAACTCCCCTCCTCTGTCAGTTCTAAGGGCTTTGACTTGTAACCCACTTTGCTTTTCTACCAAAGCCTTGAATTTCTTGAAGTTTTCAAAAGACTCTGACTTGGCCTTTTGAAAATATACCCAACACATCCTACTGAAATCATCAGTGAGTAAGAAGAAGTATTTACTTCCTCCCAATGATTCAGTTTGCATAGGGCCACACAGGTCAGCATGAATCAACTCCAAGCATTGTCCTACTCTCCAAGTTCCTCCATGTGGGAATGAGCCTCTAGCTTGTTTTCCATAGACACAACCTTCACAGAACTCCAGGTTGCCTATGTTTGGTAATCCATGTACAAACTCTTTTGTACTGAGTATATGCAGGCTATGGTTATTGAGATGTCCATACCTGAGATGCTACAATTTTGCATTTTCATCCCCTTTTACCACAAGTGCCTGCCCAACACTTTTGGTTAGGTCCAAGAGAAAAACCTTGTTCTTTCCCATTGGTATTCTCATTACTACTGCATTTTGCACCTTTTCTTTGATGACACAGATGTCATCCTCAAACAAGACTTTATAACCACCACATACTAATTTCCCCACACTTAACAGATTGTGAGCTAGATTAGGCACATATTGGACATTATGCAGAAGTTTAGTTTTACCTTGCTCAGTAGGAAGTGCAATTGTGCCCTGACCCTCAACCATTAACTGCTTGCCATCACCAAGCCTAACCACACTCTTCTTGGAAGCATCCAACTCCTTGAACATATCTTTGGAGCTAGTCATGTGATTTGAGCACTCACTGTCAACATACCAGACTGCACTTGCACCATAATCACAGTTATGCTGGGCAAGAAAGAGGTTATCTTGCTCAGCATAATTGGACTTGGCTTCTTGTTTACCTTCTTCCTTGTCTTCCTCTTTCTTCCAACATGAAGCTTCCTTGTGACCTGGTTTGTTACAGTAATAACACTTGATTGGGTTTTTGTGGCTACCTTTTTTTTTGCCCGGAGAAGCCACTTTGTGTGGGAAAAGCGCCGGGGAACACTTTCCAAATTTATTAAATTTAAAAATTACAGAAACAGAGTTCAGATTGAAAAATACAAAGCGGAATGCAAAATGAAAAGTTAACAACTAAAGTCTGTAGGCACCCCGACAACTGTTGAAAGAGCTCGGTTGTGATTATTGTGAAATTGGATGGCTCGTTGAAGATAAGGAGGATACGTTTTTGCCTGCGGGTGTAACAACTTGTAGCGTTTCAGTCCTGATACTATCTTGTGGGGTGACTCATAGTTTGAGTAGATCGGGTAGATATAATAGTCCTCGTCATGCTGAAGCGTGTCTGATTGACTTCTGGTTATTAACGGGGAAATCTCCTGAGATACATGTTCCTTAGCTTCAACTATTACCTGTGCAAGATTTGGACCTCTCGTGTGGTTCGGGCTTTCCTCATTAGCCTCCAAAACCTGTCGTACAGTATCTGCGTCTTCCGGTACTTGATCCTTTTCCTCACATTTTTCCTCTAGGGTAGCTACTAAGGATCCAGCCTCATTGCTAGCATCGTGTGTTTCTTCGACCAAATTTTCCGTGTTCATAGAAACCCCTTTTTCTTTCTCCGCTAACTTGTTGCAAATAAAAGGGTGATGTCCATATTCTTTGCAATGAAAGCAAAAATTAGGAAAAGTTTCATACACCACAAATTGTCTAAAAACCTTCCGGGATGATAGGCGTATGGGAAATGAAAGTTGGGGTGGTTTGGAAACATCAACTTCTATTAGCACTCTGGCAAATTTATGGTTAGTTCTTTCATGGGTAATCTTGTATGTGTTTAGCGGAACCCCGACCATAGATGCAACCTCACTCATTGCCTCTTCATTCCAAAGTTTCATTGGTAGGTTAGGGAATTTGACCCAAATAGGTACTTGTGGCTACCTCCAGAAGCTTATTCCCTCTTGTCAGGAGTATAACTCCTGCCACCTCTGCCACGACCTCTGCCTCTACCACCTCCTCTACCACGACCTCTTCCTCTCCCTCTTGAGGATTGCCGAGTTCTATCATGATGAGAGGAGTCACCTTTAACTTGAAAGGCAGTTTCTTCCTTTTCTTCTTCTTTAATCTCTCTTTCTTCATAGGCTTGCAGTGATCCTTTGAGTTCATCAAAGGTATACACATCCATATCTTTGGATTCCTCTATGCCAGAAACTAGGGGAGTATACTTCCTTGAGAGACTTCTGAGCACCTTACTAACCACTTTCTTTGTCTTAACCTCCTCTCCATAAGACCTCATTTGCTGCACAGTATTGGTGATCCTGGAGAGGTAATCTTGAACAGATTCCTTGTCTTTCATCTTGGAATTCTCAAATTCCCTCCTCAGGCCTTGCAGCTTGACCTCAATGACTCTTTTATCACCCATATACTCCTGCTTAAGGACACTCCAAGCCTCCTTGGATGTTGATGATGCTGCAATCCTGGGGAAAACTTCATCATCCAAGGCTTGTTGGATGAAATAGAGAGCTTTAGCATCATTCTTCCTCTTATCTCTTAGGGCTTGATCTGGGTCGTCTGGATGACTATCCTCAAAGCCATCCTCCACAATGCTCCATAGCTCTTAAGACTTGAAGAGAGTTTTCATCTTCAAACTCCAAAAATGGTAATTCGAACCTTTAAACATGGGCAATTGAGAAATAGAATTCCCACTGCTATTACCATTTGCAGTCTGCATTGTACCATTCATTTTGGGTTGTATCCTCACACACTTAGGCCTTCGGATAACCCTAAACTCTGATACCAAATGTTGGTGCACGCTATACTAATATATTGAAGGATATGAATGCTTAAAACTCACTTATATTAAACTGAAATGGATCAAGCCTTTATAGACATTACAAAGCAAACTAAGTGCAGCACGTAAACCTCAACTTACTCCTAAGTTTAAGGTGTGTCCACACGTTCAAAATAGAGGGATAACAATGACTCCAACAACTCCTAAAAACCAGCTAACCATATTGGACTTATTCAAATAAGTAATTTAATAAATAAATGAATAGCTAAATGACTAAATTCCATGTGTGCATGGCTCCATGCAAGCTTGATCATATTAGTCAACAAGACGAACTTTGCTATTTTTGCTATTTCTTGCCCGGGGACTGCTTGACTTGGAGTTTGGGGCCTAGTCTGTAGCGATTTACGCCGGATAAGATGACCGGGGGTAAAAAAATTTCCGGCTACTGTCGAACTGCCCACCGTGCTTGCTCGCATCAACGCCGTTGAGGGTCGTCGGGGCTCGACGGGGGTGGGGGTGAGATGGGGGACTTCGGTTTGGCAGCTGTTACTTCTCTGGCTGGGATTTTCCTTTCCTCCGTTCGCCGGCTTGTGTGTTGACTGAAAGGCTGACTGACAGGTGGGCAGGGTACATTGTACAGCCTGTCACCTTAGTCGAATGCATTTTGAATTTCAAATGGAAGGGCGGCGCGGTGCTTAGCGATGGAGCCTGGAGGGATTGGGCCGTTGCCCTAACTTTCGCTGCTGCTGCACGGATGGTTTCAGCCCATTAACTGCTGCTGCTGCTGGGATTTTTTGATGGGCCTTTTTTGGCTCTTTGACTGGATTTAGCTACTAACGGGCCTTAATTGGTCTGGACGGAGCACTTTACGAGAGGTTTTTTACTCGTTAATGGGCTATCTCTTCATGGGCTAGTCCATCTTAGGTACTTGACTTTTTGTGAAACGTGCTGGGGCCTGTCCCATGCGGTTTGGACTCCTATAAAATTCTCTCTCTCCCTGCCACACGGTGGGGGTAGGATACGGTAGATACTAGTTAGGTTGGCTTGCTAGCTTAGTTAGTTATTTTTTATACATTTGATGCATTGTAATGCTATTTTCTGGATATATATATTTACATTTTATCCAAACAAAAAGATATGGTGAATCCTAAGATATGATTAAATATTTATTTATTTCTAAGATATTAACACCAGCTCTTAAATAACTATTTAATCATCAATTATTAAAAATAATACTTCGTATGTTTATAATATCACAGTTATCATCAATAACTAATTATATTATGTATATATCAAAACTATTTGTTAAAATATATTTAATGTTGTTTAAATAGCCGTATCATTTTTGAATGAGGGCATGAGGCGGAGGAGTAGACCTGTACAAAAACGAGTTTGGGTCGGGCTCGGGTCGGGCTTTTTATAAATTTTCTGCCCATCATGTGTGCGCGGACCTGGCCCGGCCCGCAAAAATGGGCCTAACCCTATGTCCATACCCGCCCATAAGAGCGGGCCGGGTAGTCCACCGGGCCGCCCGGCCCGGGAAAACTTTAATTTTTTCAAAATTATATAATTTTTTAAATACTTTAAAAATAATATTACAACATTTAAAAAGTAATTAATATACGCTTATAATGTTTATACATCTTTCACCACATACAAAAAAAAATACTGACACAAAAATAATAATGAGAAACTATATCTAAAATTTAAAATTTAAGCACAAAATATTATCTTTAAGTACAAAAATAGATATTATATTGGTTGGGCTAGTTGTTATGAACTAAAAATTTAAATTTAAACATAATAAATTATAAATATGTATAAAGAAAAATTAGTAAATATAAATATACATGTGTATATGCAAATAAACAAATAAATTAGTATATATATATATAAATATATATTTATATATACTAAATGTAGCGGGTCGGGCTTATCGACCCAAACAGGCCTACACCCTAACCCAAGCCCACCCATATCTTATTGCGGGCCGAGCTCGGGTCGGCCCGGTGGGTAAATATATATGCCCAAGCCCACCCATTTGTGCGGACGAGCTGGGCGTGCCGGGCGGACCGGCCCGGTTTTATCCAGGTCTAAGGCGGAGGTAATATGTATTTTAATGATCTTTTTACCCCTTCAATTTATTTATTGGTCATGTAAATGGATGTTTAAGTTTTCTAGTCATACACTGAATATTAGCTAGAAATTTATGAACGTATTGTCACATACTAATATAAATAAATTTCCTTTTATTCATTCACACTAAGTTACACACACACATTACACTTTCGTACACAGAAGTTTCAAGTTACACACACACACATTACACTCTAAGTACATATGTTCATTTTACCATTTTGTATACGTACTCTTCATACATGACCTATGCGTACAATGAAATTAAAATAATATTACTCACAGTCTTTTACTTTTTCCGTTTTTTAATAGTTGCAACGTTCTGTTTTTTTCACTACTCACGCATTTTATTTTGACTAAAATTTTCTACTAATATATGATCAATTATTATGTATAAAATGTTATTCAATTTCTATTAATGTGAATTTTCAATATATCAATTTTTTATAAAGTTTACTAACATGTAACTGGATAAATTACAGTCAAAGTTGAAAAATGAAACTATTGTACTTTATTCCAACCAAATGTAAATTCATTTTTCTTATTTAATAGAGGATAGTAGGTTAATTTCGCCTTCTTTATTAATAAACATTACTCCAACCAAATGTAAAGTCATTTTCTTCAACCGTCTTATTGTCTTTTTTGGGGTAGCGAATAAAAGGCCGACGCATGGTATCTTAATGACCAACTAGAACATTGAAGAGTCATTATATTTTGTTAATTGAATATTACGTAGTTTTTTAATTAATTTAAATTATTTGTGTATACCGACATCTTCTAAACCTCATTTTAGAGCAATTGCCAATTGCATGTATCATTTATCTTGTAACTTTGTAAGTGTATACATATTTCAGTTGTGGTACTTTATTTTACTATAATATTGAAAGCAATCAATAATTAACTATCGTGTGCATCATTTTTGCACATTTAATGGGAGTCATTTGTTTCCATCCCGGCTATAATCGCAATTAACAATGCGATTTTTTTTATAATTTTAAATACACTTGATAAAATGAATGTGGACTTAATACTACGTACGTATTATTTTATATGTTGAACTTTGTTCTTTAATTTTGTTTTAGCTAAATAAGGAAATCTCACTTCATTCACATGTTGAACAAATGAGGAAACATTTCAATTCTAAATACTGTATGTATTTTTGCTTGTTTTGTTTTAAATATTTAATTTTCGGGAAATCATAAGTTTTCGTGTTTGAAAAAATGGGACCCACCCAGGGGTGGAGACAGGGGCTGGCGGTGGCCACGACCCCTGCAAGAAAAAAATTGTGATGTATTTATATATGTATAATAATTTATAAGTAGTAAAAAATATAGTGAAAATTTATGTTTTGACCCCTGCTATATAAATTTCTTAAATCCAGCCCCTGTAACCTGTCAATCCTGGCTCTGCCACTGGACCCACCGCCCGCACGCCTTATATGTCCACTGATGATAGTGTGGCTGTAATAGTAGCTAGTAGTGAGAAATACCATCATACCGTAGCGTAGGCAGGGCAGAATTTTGGAGCGGGACTAGTACAAAAAATACTTTTGGAAAGGTCTTTTTTTATGAATATTACTAATATAACATCAAATGACAAAAAAGTGACTCATATGTTAAATTTCCAAAAAAGTGATTACTAGAGTAATTACGTGTGCTGTTTATTGAGTAATTGCCTTGTATGGCCATCAATTAAAAGCATTTATTGTTCAACTAAATCAAAAGCAAAATGTAAGACGGTTGTTGAGCTCCTTTTTCGTGGTAACTGCCATCTAAAGTTTAGGAGGAGACTATGTACATGGAATATAACGTAAGGCTGCTTGACCATCATATTAATTTTTCCTGTTACCAAGTATTGCACATCCATGGGATAACATAAAAAATTGACAAAAAGCATAGTCATATGTGATATTTGTAAGGAGTAGTGATGGAGTATATGGGTCTAGGCCCCAGGATCCACATACTCAGAACAGAAAGCACAGCCACTATGCGGTGCCCTCGTAGGCCAAAGACCCTCGTCGACCAGAAGAAGGACCAACTCAGAATATGATCCTGAACCCAAGGAACCAAGGTGTCCTCGTCGGCCGTGCCCTCGTCGGCCAAGACCCTCGTTGGCCACGGAAGTCTCACAGAACCGGATTTTACACTTATTCATTTATATAGCCCACCAGTGGCTCTGTATTCAGCCCAATAGCGGTCCAGTTGTAAATGGGCATCCCAAGCCCAAGGCTTGGGAGCCCAGCCCGCATTTTTCCTATAAATACTTCCTCTGGAGGTAGTTATAGGGGTTACAAAATCATTCTATTGAAGCATTACTTGCACTTCTCTCTCTAGCTTTCACTTCTCTCTAGATATATACTCTATCATTTTGGTGCTTTCATTGAGAGCTAGAACAATCAAGTTAGCACCATTCGTCGCTACCAAGCACAGCTAACCACTGATCATGGGAAGGACTAAGTCAAACCGCAACCTCGTCAGCAAGGCCATCCCTGAGGACCAGGAGACCAGGGAGCATGAAGAGGACGTTACGGCCGACCAGGTCGGCGGAGGAGACGTCTTCCAGGAGGCCATCAACCTGACGACGGACCTCCGCAACCAACTCAACGGCGGAGCCCCTGATGCCCGCATCGGCCTGGAAACGTGCTGAGAAGACAGACCACGCCCTGGCCCAGCCAATGGTTGCGGCTTCTCTGTCTGTGGATCCACAGGTCCAGGCCGCATTGTCGGTCATCATCGCCAGCTTGGCCCAGAACCCCACCGTCCTCAGCGCACTCCTGCCAAGGACTGGGGGGAACGTCACTCCACCTCCTCAGCCCCAACCGTTGGCCGTCAGGTTAGGCAACGATGAGGGGGTGATGGCCCAGGACACGGCGTCGTCCCACTCCCACCCCGCTTCCCCCCTTCGGCCTGGGCAGACCCCAGCGCGTGGAAAAGCCTCTGCCTTCAATAGGCTAGGTGACACGCGCCGTCGTCCGGTCTCGGAGAGGATGGCAGGGCGGATTGGTGAGCGTCGGCCTGGCTCGCCATGGGAAAGCTTGGGGTCTGTATCCCGGACAGCGGACAAGCCCCGCCTGGACAAGGGCAAAGGAAAGTTGCACGAGGTCGACGTGCACCACCAGATCAACGCGGCCCACGACGAGCGCATGAAGAACCAGCAGGGCGCCGTTGCGGCCGCTAGGGATCCACGGGACGAGGTCATCGCCCAGCTGGAAAGGAGGCTGGCCCAGATGGAGGCCAGGCAATCGGCAAATGTCCCTATGGCCGGCGCCTCCAACGACCCTGGCCTCAACGCCCTCATGAACAAAGTCAGCGCCCTTGAGAGGGAGTTGGCCGAAGGGCGAGGTGACTCCGTCATCCAAGTCAAGACCAGGACCCCTTTCACTAACATGGTGCTCTCGGCTCCCATCCCGGAGAAGTACAGGGGAAACGCCATCAAGTCCTACGATGGCCGATCAGACCCCCAGGAGCACTTCAGCCGCTATCAGAACAACATGCTGATGGTGAACGCGTCGGATGAATATCTCTGTCGTTGGTTCCTCTCTACTCTTGAGGGGCCAGCGTACGAGTGGTTCAAAGCGCTCCCCGAAGGAAGTATTGACTCATGGCAAGACCTTGCCCAGCGCTTCCTCACCCATTTTGCCGGGAGGAAGCGCGCGAAGAAGTATTTCACCCATCTCCTCTCCGTCAAGCAAACACATGATGAGCCCCTCCGGTCGTTCATTGATCGGTGGACGAGGGAGACCGAAGAAGTCGAGGGGGCCGATGAGCGCACCCTCCTCGTCCTATACCAGGGAGCCCTCCGTAGCTCCCCGTACGCCTGAAGCCTCATCACCGATCCTCCAAGATCGTATGCAAAGGCGCTTCAGCGCGGGAGTTTGTACGCCGACGCCGACGAGCTCCACAACCACAAAAAAGAGGGAGGCCATCCTTCCAAGAAGACAAATCCTTCGCCGGCCCCGGGACCATCCCTGGCCGGCCAGGGTGCCCAGAGCTGTCACGGCTATGGTGGACAAAGTAAGAAAGACCGCCACTGGCGGCCGAGGTTGGAATGGACGGGGGTCCCCCTCACCCACCCGGTCAGCACCATCCTCGACTACGCCGAGAAGCATGGCCTCATTGAGCAGGCTCCTCGGCCGGCCGAGGAGGTCCTTGCCATCCAGCAGGGCGGCACATACTGCCGGTTTCACAAGAACTCCTCGCACAACACCGACGACTGCATCACGCTAAAGAAAGCCATCGAGCGCCTTATTCGTCAGGGAGAACTCTCCCAATTTGTTAAAGGTGGCCCACGCAAAAATACGTGGGTAAACACCGGCAAACCTGGGGGCGAACCCTCTACGAAGAAGGGGGAGATCGGCAGGCTCAGCGACGACGAGGGGAACACCGGGGGGGACTCCGTCACCCAGAGGAAGAAATGGGCCCAATCCCTTTACATTGGGGAGGTGTCCTACGTTCCCCCCTAGCCGAAGAAGCAGCGAACGGAGGCGATCACCTTCACCGACAAGGATCTGCCTCCGGGTACGGAATCACATAGGGACGCCCTCGTCATCCGGTGTAAGATCGGTGACTCTATCATCCACCGCACTTACATCGATACAGGGAGCTCCGTCAACGTGATGTACTTGGACACCTTCAGGCAGCTAAAGCTGGACAAAGCTCTGCTGAAGCCGATCAAGACACCGTTGTCCGGCTTCACCGGGGACGCTATCGACGCCGAGGGCACGATAGTCCTCCCCGTGGAGGTCGGCGACGGCCCCCACCGCGCCAAAATTGACATGGAGTTCATGGTGGTCAACCTCCAGTGCGCCCACAACCTGATCTTGGGGCAGCCAGCACTGGAGGACTTGGAGGCAATCATCTCCATGAAGCACTTGTGTCTGAAGTTCCCCACCAATGGCGGCATCGGCTACGCCAGAGGAAACCAGAGAATAGCCAGAGCATGCTACCTCAAGCTAACAAGGCCGGCCGAAAGGGAAGGACAGAGGATAGACACCATCACGACGGCCGTGGCCAAGGACGAGGAGAGGCCGCATGCCGAACCGGCCGAGGAGGTCGAGGAAGTCCCTCTGGATACCTCCCGGCCGGAGCGGGTCCTCAAAATCGGGAAGCAACTCCCCCAGGACCAGCGGGACGCCATCCTCCTCGTCCTACGATCATACGCCGTTATCTTCACGTGGGGCCCGGACGACATGCCAGGCATCAGCCGGCAGGTGATCACCCACCGGCTGACCGTCGATCCAGCCTCCGCGCCTGTCAAGCAGAAGCGGCGCTACTTATCCGCCGACAAGCGGGACTTCGTCAAAGGGGAGGTCGCCATGCTCCTCTCAATCAACCACATCAAAGAGGTGAAGTACCCGACGCTGACCTGAACAAGGCGTGCCCCATGGACCCGTTCCCTCTCCCCAACATTGATTAGTTGGTGGACGAGACGGCGGGATGCGAGTTGATGTCGTTCCTTGATGCTTTCAGAGGGTACCACCAGATTTTCATGCATGAAGATGACGCTGAGAAGACGACATTCATGACCCCGGAGGGAATTTTTTGCTACCTTGTCATGGCTTTCGGACTCAAAAACTCTGGCGCCACCTATACCGGGATGGTGGCCAAGATCTTCAGAGCGGTCCTCGGCCGGACGATGGAGGCATACGTCGATGACATGATTGTCAAGAGCAGGCAAGCCACCACACATGCTGACAACCTCCGGGAAACTTTTGAAATCATGAGGGAGTTCAAGCTCCGCCTCAACCCCAAGAAGTGCGCCTTTGGCGTCCAAGGCGGCAAATTCCTCGGCTACATGGTCAGCCGGAGAGGCATCAAAATAAACCCGGAGAAGATATGGGGTATCATCAACATGGAGCTGCCCCGCAACGTCAAGGAGGTACAGCGGCTGACGGGGCGCCTGGCGGCCCTGAGCCGCTTCCTCTCCAAGTCAGCCGAGAGGTCACTCCCTTTCTTCCAAATCATGCGCAAGGCGAACAGCTTCAAGTGGACGACGGAGTGCCAGGAAGCATTTGAAAAGCTGAAGAGGTACCTTTCCTCCCCACCCGTGCTCTCCAAGCCCAAAGCCGGCGAACCCCTCTTCTTGTACTTAGGGGTGAGCACGTCGGCCATCAGCTCCGTGCTCATCCGTGAGGACGAAGGGGTGCAGAAGGCCATTTTCTACGTCAACAAGACATTAAGGGAGGCCGAGCTCAGGTACCCCCCCCCCCCCATTGAAAAGACGGTGCTAGCCATCGTCCATACGGTGAAAAAGCTGGGGCACTACTTCCAGGCCCATGCCGTCCATGTACTGACCAGCAGCCCCTCGGCGCACTCATGAGGAGCCCCACTAGCTCCTCAAGAATGGTGAAATGGGCGATCTTCCTTAGGCAATTTCAGATTGAGATCAAGCCAAGGCCATCTATCAAAGGGTAAGCCTTGGCCGACTTCGTCACCGAATGCACGGCTAGGGAGACAACCACTACCACCCCCGGGCCAGAGCCCGATGACACATGGATCCTCTTCACCGACGGCTCGTCGGCCGCGAAATCATGTGGCGGCGGCGGCGTCCTCATATCCCCTGAAGGATTCAGAGCTTACTATGTCATCCGCTTCAACTTCAGGGTATCCAACAATGAAGCCGAGTATGAGGCCCTCCTCAGCGGCCTCAGACTCGCCGCCGGCCTCAGAGCCCGGCACATCAGAATCAGGTGCGACTCCAAGCTGGTAGTGGGCCAGGTTGGGGGTACGTACGAAGCAAAGGAGGGCCGAATGAAGCAATACAAGCAAGCGGCAGAGGAGTTGCTGAAGGCGTTCGAAACCCACGAGATCACACAGATCCCAAGGGCCGAGAACGCCGAGGCCGACATCCTATCCAAACTCAGCTCAGACACTCCGGAGCACATCTCCCAGTTAGCCAAGATCGAGGAGCTGAGTATGTCCAGCATCCATGCCAGCCCCATCTTGTGCATCCAACAGCGACCGGAAGACTGGATCTCCGACATCACCACCTTCATCACGACGGGGGAACTACCCCAGGACGAGGAGAGGGCCAAGCTCGCCAAACTCAGGGCCCCAAGCTACACCATTGAAGATGACAAACTCTACAAACGATCCTATAATGGCACTCTCCTCCGATGCCTACAACAGGACGAGGCCGATGTGGCCATGGAAGAAGTTCACTGTGGTGTTTGCTCCTCGCACCAGGGCCCTTTCAACATGTCCTGGCGTCTCGCCGACGATGGCGCAGGATTGTGCGGACCTGGCCAGGAAATGTACCACGTGCCAGGTGCTCCGGAAGGCCCCTGGTCGGCCAGCCGTCAACTACGCCTCCGTCAGCACTGCTATTCCATTCTCGAGATGGGGGATTGACCTGGTCGGCCCTCTACCCAGAGCTGCTGGCAACAACCGCTACATCATCGTCGCAGTCGACTACTTCACCAAGTGGTTCGAAGCGGAACCTTTGGCCAGCATCACGGGAGCCAGGTGTCAGAAGTTCGATCACAAGAACATTCTCACCCGCTTTGGTGTCCCCCAAGAGATCATATCAGACAACGGCACCCAGCTCGAAGCGGCGCCCTTTCAGGAGCTCCTTCGAGAGTTTGGAATAAAGCACCTTTTCTCCTCCGTTGCCTACCCTCAAGGCAACGGGCAGGTTGAGAACGCCAACAGAACTATAATGGAGGGACTGAAGAAGAACCTACAGGACGCAAGAGGGAGTTGGGTCGACGAGCTCCCCAACATCCTGTGGTGCTATCGTACTACGCCGAGGAGGGCAACGGGTGAAACACCTTTTGCCCTGTGCTACGGCTTTGAAGCAAAGGCACCCACAGAGGTCGCTATTCCCAGCCGATGGGTGGAACAGTACGACCCTCAGGTTAACGAGGAAAACATGAAAATCGACCTCCACCTGGTCGATGAAAGACGTGAACAGGCATTCATCCGAGCAGAGAACTACCGGCGTCAAGTGAAATCATACTATGACGCCAAGGTACGTTCCCGAGAATTCCAAGTGGGGGACTACGTCCTCCGCCGAAGGGAAGCAAGTCAGCCGACGGAAGGAGGCAAGCTAGCCCTGAAGTATGAAGGTCCCTACATCGTCAGTGCCGTGGTGAAACCCGATACCTACAAGCTTAAATGCCCCAACGTGACCAATGTACCACGAACGTGGAATGTACACCATTTGGTGAAGTTTTATCAATAATCCGAAAGAGGTGCAGTCGGTGAAGCCCTCACCTTTTGACGGGTTATTGATTGAACGACACCCTCGGCCTTGAGCCACTTTTGAATAAAAATCATGTTTCCTTTGATTTCTTGGAATCCAAGTACCACATTGATAGGCGCCCTCATCGGCCACCTTAGAGCGAAAGGCTCAGGCATGGCCGATGTGGCGCTTCGCATCTGCATCTTTAGAGCGAAAAGCTCAGGCATGCCCATTGTATTTTGTATCAGCGAAAGGTTTAGGCCAGCTGAGAGAGCACGTCGTATCGATTCCTCAGAGCGAGACACTCAGGCAGAGCCGACGACGTCCCCAGGACGAGGGGCCCGCAAACGGCCCGCGTCTTGAAATGGGAAGTTCACCGCGTCGTCCACGCGCTTGATCGCAGGACGACAGGCCTGAAATCATGACCGAGGTGAAAAGATCCCCAAACTCAGGGATGGGCAACGGCAGCCATTGGAAACCAACCAAAAGTCTAGCCCGCGTCACAAATAGGCGATGGGACCCCCCCCCCCTCGAGATCATGGACGTTATAAACGAAGTCCAAACCGGCCGAAGGGCCATCGACCCCTTCGGCCGAAGCCTAAAAGAAGGACACTGCCCGAAATAGGGAACAAAAAAAGGAGGGAAGCCGAGGACTGCGCACACTTGCCGGCCTCGAGCAGTGAAAATAAATCCCCACAAATCAGCCACATTTGGCTAAGTACATATCAGTTGAATACAGAGGTAACACTAACAACAGGTAACGCGGACGAAGCGGCCACCAACTACAAAGAAAGTGTTAAGGACGGAGCATGCACCCATAAAACCCTAACCAAGGTGGTTGGGTGAAACTAGGGTGGTAACCTTCATCGGCCATAACCACTTGAAGCGCCAACACTTAGCACGAAAAAAGGAATTACAACTTCACACTTAAAACAGAATCCCGAGGTTGACCACCGGAAAGGACCCAGAACGAAGCGGGCACTAAAACACCCGTGGGAAAGTTACACACGGGTGGCAACCCCTACCGGCCACAAGATTCTTGCTGGTCGTTAAAGACGCTAAAACCTAGACGGTGGCTTAAGCTGAAAATCTTCAAAGGAAGTTTACCAAGCGAATTCCGACACTTAGAGAATTCTAAAGAAAGCAAACGCAAAGGAAGAGGCAAAACACCGGGTACCTTCATCAGCCATACCGTCCAACTTGGCCGACGACGATACTACGAAGAGAAAGTTACATGGCCTAAAAATCGGGCAATCTCCTCAACGAAGGGGCAGCCCCAAGACGAAGCGGGCACTCAAAGACCTGTAGGTGCCCGTCTCGGCCTCGCCAATGACCGGTAAGGTCTTGCTAACCGATAAAGACACTACAACTAAGGCGGTTGCTCAAATTGCCACTTAGTGGACTTCAAACACGTAGAAAGTGTCCCAGAAAACACAAGCATCAAAGGTATGGCCGAAAAGGGTAACAGGCAGAGGAAACTACAACTCCCAAACACTTAGACGAAGAGGGCACCCAAAAAAGTTGAAGGTACCCTCATGTCCGTATCGGCTGCCTACTTGGAAGATTTTCTAAAGCTATGACTGACATTTTATACTTAGGAAATTTTCCAAAAATTCTCTAAGTATTTTGGCAACAAGACCAAGCAAACACTCATACGGGGACGTCGTACAACACGGAAAGAAAAGAAGGCAAAAATATCAAAGTATGAAAGACGAGGCATTTTCATTCATAAATGAGGAAAGTACAAAGTGGGATTCTGGGCCGTTACATAATCAAAAGTCAGAAAAAACAATACAAGGGATCATGGCTCTGAAGGAGCTTCGGAGTCCTTCTCGGCATCGGCTCTCTCTTCGGCCGGAGCAGCAGACGTACCGGCAGCAATACCTGACGTCGCGGTATCCTCAAACATACTTCGCTCATAGGCCCAATCATCGCTGATGCGAGAGCTCTCAATGGGGAGGTGCTGATCAGCCACCGGGAGCTCCAACTCCGCTTCGGGATGCCTCATCAATGAAGGCAGCTCAAGGCCGACGACCCACTCCTTGGCCACACCCATATCTATGAAACGCCGCTGAAGCCTCCTGTACAGCAGCTGTTGCATCCGGTACTGACCAAGGTCGTAGAAGATTCTTCTCCTTCTCCCAGTACGCCTGGCCGTCAGGGGATTTGGTCACCCAGTCAACAAGCCTGGCCGCCACGACCTCGAAGCACCAGGAGAGCCGGTCCTCGTCCTTCCAGCCGACTTCGAGAAACTTCTGCATAGCTGCCTCACCAGCTTTCTCCTCGGCGGCACTAAGGGCCAGCTCCGCACTGGCCTTACCCTTCTCGGCCTCCTCCGCACGCCGAAGGGCCTCGTCACGAACACGCTCCATATCGGCTAAGCGCTGGAGGGCCCCTTCCTTCTCAGCAGCCAGCTTGTCGGCCTCATCAGCCCTCTTCTTCAGGCCTTCGAGTTCAAGCCGCAGCCTCTCCAAGCTGCCCAGCGCTTCGTCGGCCGAAGCAACCATTTGCTCGAATTGCTTCAAGCGAGCAATCTCCTTCTGCTGCCTCCTGTTGCTTTCCATCAACATGAAGGCGCCATGCGGTAAAATATGGGTTAGACGACAACAACGCGTAACAAAAAAAAAACAGAAACACAGACGAAGCGGACGTGAGTACTTACTTGGACGATGTGGTCCATCCCACCATCGTACATCTTAACATGGCCGAGCTTCTTCAGGTAAGCCCAGTCCTCGTCAGGGATGGCCTGGGAGATCACCTCGTGGCCGTCAACGATCTCGTTGAACAGCCCCCCTTTGACAGGGTACTCCACCTCAAGCTTGTAGGTCCCTTTGACCAGCTCTCGGCCGGACCCTTTCTTTCGGGTGGCCGTTACGGCAGCAGGAACGGTGGACAGGGTGGTGGACGAAGGGCCCGAAGGGTGGTCCACCAAAGCATCAACATTGGAACCCCCCATCCCCAGAGGGAACAGCCGACGTCCCGGCATCACCGGTAGGGGAAGCTCCCTTCGACTTCTTGGCAGGCTTTAGTCCCGCCTCAGTCAACTTCTTTTGGCCCTCATCGGCCTGCCGTTTCTTCTTCGGCTGCACTGGGGGCTTGGCCGCAGGGGCAGCACCAGGCTGTTGGGCCTTCAGCTCCTCGGCCGCCTTAAGTTGTGCCCTCTTCATGAAGGACATACGATCCATGACAAAACCTGCACCAGAAAAAACACTAAGGGCCAGCAAACAGAGAATACAAAAGTACGACGAGAAGAAGTGCATCAGAAAGGAATTACCATCGTCCTCAGCTGGCACCCCCAGATCGGGACCATCAGCCTCCTCGTAAGACGTGGTCATCTTCGGCCACAACTCCACATCGTCGTCATTGTCACCATACACAAAATACCGTACGAAGCCGAGGGCGGCCATTTTGTACTCGGTAATGTACGTCTTCAAACTCCTCGGCCCTCCCTTCAAGAAAGCCTCAACCTGAGCGTCCGGGATGGAGCTCCTCGGCGTGTCATGAAGATTAAACTGTCCACTGTGGCCGACGGAAGGAAACTCTACACCCCCTTCACCCAACGATACGAACACGAACATCCCTTTCCAACCATGGATGGACGTCGGCAGGTCTGTGAAACTTCTTTTCTTGGGGAGTGGTTGGAGAGTGACATACGACGCACAGTTCTGGTGACTTCCGCGGCCTATCTGGTATAGGTTCATAAACAGCGCCGTCGTCAGCCTGAAATCCAATGAGCGAGTAGCTATTCGGCGTCAACAAGGCCGGAGGGAGCCCCACCATATCTAGGTACTCAGTGATAAAGGGATGAAGCGGGAACCTAAGCCCTTTGGCAAAGCTCATCGGGTACACTCCAAAGTAGCCCGGGGGTGGATTAAGGACATGGTCCGTCGGCTTGGGGGCCATAACCCTACCATACGGCCCCACATACATCTGTGCAACCAGGTATTCACCCGCATTACTCTGCGGCCTGATAATGTAGATATTCGTCAGATCCAAATACGAGAAGGTTGGCCCTCTCTTCGGCCTCCTCACCCTCTTCGGCGGCGCAACACCCTTCACAGCAGACACCGGTTTTGGGCATGGGATGGAAACCGATGTGGACGCCCCATCAGCAGTTCGGGAGACCACTACATCCCCACCTCTAGACGATGACGCAGACCCCTCATCCTCACCGTCCTCATCATCCTGCTCCCCGGACTTGAACGAGCTCAGATTCTCAAGCTCCTCACAGAACTCCTCGACCACTTCATAGTCAAGGGACTTGGTGGAGGGCTCGTCGTCGTAGGGGTAGTACTCTTCGTTGAAGTCTTTCATCTTAAACACTATTTTGAGTATACGGCAACCTACTTCGAGATCTAAGGGCGTTCAAACGCCTAACACTAGATCACTAGCCTAGGAAGCAAAATATACAAAGTACAGAGATTTCGATGAACACTAACCTTGAAGAACACGAAGAACACTTGCTTTGAAGTTTATCTCTCTAGGAATTTGGCCAGCACTTCGATAGCTCAGATTGCAAATGAGAGTTTTCGTCGGATAGAGAGGGGTATTTATAGAACCCCCCACCCAACAGTCACTACACGTGGCATCCTCCCAGTGGCCACACCAACGGCCACCAACGGGACGCCACCACGTCACTAATGGGCCAAGCCCAATCCACAGATCAAGAGCCCACTGGCAAAGCAGGCTCTACGGAACGGGGAAGGGGAGAATAACACTCACAACGGCCAGGGCACTCAACGGCCAACAACAGACAACGGGTACCCCACAACACCCGTATCGGCCATCTAGACGGCCACAACATCCCAAAGGAAAGGAACGTAACGGCCATAAGGCCCTCGCACTAAACCCTTGATGATAACCCTTTGAAAGCGACCTGCGTCCAAGGGTTCTCCCACAGGGTTACCTTGGTCAGGAAATCGCCAAAGGGTTGGATCCAAGGGCTGTATGAGGAGCCCGCCTCGGCCTGGGTTTCAATCTACTCCTTCACCCCTCACTCACTCTTCGGCCTGAAGCAGTGGGGGACTGGGGGACTACACCGGCCTCAAGAATAACAGGCAAAATCAAAAGAAATCCAAAAAATACACCAAGTCCACAACTACAGTATCAAGACATGCACCACAACGTCCATAACATCATGGTGCACCTTCAGCCACAGCAAAGCTTGAGATCACATGACACTTATCGGCCTTGAAACCACACATCACCCTCAAGCCGGGAATCAAGAGAAAGGTTAACATACCTAAATCACTGTCGTCCATGAACCGCAACGGCCCCGAGGTCCTCACAACTTCAGCTTCGGCCAGTCAGTGTTATCATCCCCAATAACCTTGAGGATGATACGCCTGGTCATCCAAAAACATAGGGCGTCATCAACAACGGCCAAAAGGAATGCGCAGTGCCCTCATCGGCCACCCAAAACAAAGACGCAGCCCCTACGGCCTCAGCAGCCCAAAAGGGAAACTTACCTAGTCAACAACCAAGGATAGACACTACCTTCATCGGCCACTCGTGCTAGAACACTCATCATCCAACAAACAAAGCGCACCAAAGGAACAATAGCCTTCCCCGTCCGCATCAGGGAGCAGGCAACTCAGAACAGGGCCGCCAAACACCGCGACAGGGAACGGCCAACGTGGTCCCGCATCGGCCGAGAAGCATCAAGCACAGAAATCTACTCTCCCTCGCTTCGTCTACATCTCAGCTTAGAGAGTGGGGGACTTCTGATGGAGTATATGGGTCTAGGCCCCAGGACCCACATACTCAGAACAGAAAGCACAGCCACTATGCGGTGTCCTTGTCGGCCAAAGACCCTCGTCGGCCAGAAGAAGGACCAACTCAGAATATGATCCTGAAGCCAAGGAACCAGGGTGTCCTCGTCGGCCGTGCCCTCGTCGGCCAAGACCCTCGTCGGCCACAGAAGTCTCACAGAACCGGATTTTACACTTATTCATTTATATAGCCCACCAGTGGCTCTGTATTCGGCCCAATAGCGGTCCAATTGTAAATGGGCCTCCCAAGCCCAAGGCTTGGGAGCCCAGCCCACATTTTTCCTATAAATACTTCCTCTGAAGGTAGTTATAGGGGTTACAAAATCATTATATTGAAGCATTACTTGCACTTCTCTCTCTAGCTCTCACTTCTCTCTAGATATATACTCTATCAAGTAGTGATTGGTTTTTTTTGTGGGTTAATGCAATTCAGTAGTGACTGAGTATTTATAGTGACGGTTTTTTTTGTAAGTTAATAGGTTGATATATGAGTGAATGTTAATAATAATAGGTTGAAGTAACTATTTATGTATCAATCAATTCATAGTAACTATCCGAGTTGCTGCCGCTGCCGCCTTTCTGCCACAATCGCTACTATTTCTGCCGTTGTTTGTGGCTTTAAGGTTGCAAATCATTAGTTTTTTTAACCTGGTGAGGCAACCACCAAAATCGGTGGGACAAACTCCGGGGAACGTTTACCGTATTTTATAAAAGTAAAAGGAGAATACAAGGAAGAGAATTTTTATCAAGCGAAAGGAACCCTCTAAGCCCACTTGGAATAATATCCCCGCTTGGGCCACCCGATTCTGGCCCACCGACAAGCAGCCCAAATCTAGAATCTTCAAATTGGAAACATCGCCTACAAGATTAGGAAACCCCAGCGTGACTGCTCATTGGACCGCCTGATGAAAAATCTCCTCCTCTCCCCTCGTCGAACCACTCAACGGAAAGCCAATCGCCGCTACCGGTTCCCCGGCATGATCACGAAGCAGAAAACCAGCAGCCGACTTCCCATTCTGTCTAAAGATGCACCAGTTCAGCTTCAGTTGATTGCTACTCGGTTTTTCCCAAATAAACTGCTGACGTCTTCGATTTCCAACATTTTGAGGTAACAGTCCTACGCTCTTTACCCTATCGCCTCCTTTAAGATTGTTATGAGCTCCATACCAATTTATCATATACTTACAGATCTGATGAATAAGACCCTCCTTGCTAGGATTCACATCTTTGAAAATGGATGCAAATCATTAGTTACTTTGTCAAGCTGGCAGTAACTTTTGGGTCGTAAATGGTTAGTGACCATCGCCAGTAACAACCGCCCAGTGACTTGGACATAGTGACCTGCCCCGGCCACAGTTACCATGGCTCAGTGACCGCTCATGTCGTCCAATACACCAAGACACCGCCTAGTAACTCCGGCACTCCAAACAGTGAGTCAGTGACTAATGCACAAGATGTCATAGAAATCCTAATCAATCGCCCTTGCATTTCCTTCCATTACCGCTGCCGTGGAAATATTCCGATGACAGTCACGGTAATCACTGCTAATCCCGACCAACACCTCCCTACCGTCCATTTTGTGGGCCCATTCCTGACAGCAGCCCCAAACGCCTAGCACTGCCATGCCCCCAGCCTAGGTCGCAACACAAGCCTCGAAAAGTACTGCCCCTCCCTCCCACCGACAAACGCTCCTATCCCCTTCCCAACCCTCGCCCCTTCCTGTGGTTTTGCCATTGCCTTCCCCCTCCCCAATTCATATTTTCAATTCCCCTACACCCCCTGTGTACACCCCCTATGTACAGACACCGCAGCCATCAATAGGAAGATCTAGCAATGATGATGGTTGAAGTAATTGCAATAATCGACCACGACATCAACTATTTAAGAGGATGAGTGATGTGGGAAAGAGAATCTACATCTTTGACAATAATGGTTTGTGGGAAAGAAAGGAGAAGATGAAAAGAAGGTATGAAGATGATATGATGGCCAACGGCTGATGTTTCGTTATTGCCTATTGGACTAGGGGCCGATGATGGTGCAAGACAGATGGAATGAAATTGGTCTACGGATGGGATAAAGAGATAAGGGAAATTCATAAATAGGGATTGATGGAGTATATGGGTCTGGACCCCAGGGCTCACATACTCGAGAGAACAGAAGGTGCCACGACCACCTAGTGGGACCCTTGTCGGCCAGATGACCCCCGTCGGCCAGAAGGAAGTCTACTCAGAATATGATCCTGAAGCCAGGAAGATCCGGGTGACCTCGTCGGCCGGGTCTTCGTCAGCCACGCCATCATCGGCCTACTATGGCCTCCAGAATAGGGTTTTATACTTGATCTTTTCTATGTACTTTGTATCCGGCTCATTAGTGGCCCTATTGTAGATGGGCCTCCCAAGCCCAAGACTTGGGAGTCCAGCCCTAATTTTTCCTATAAATACTCCCTCTGGGAGTAGTTGTAAGGGTACACAATTCACAAGGCCCATTGGGCTGGTACCGGTTCAGGAGGCGGGTCAGGCCCACTTCCACAGTACCAGCCCATCGCCAACATGCCAACAATCAGCGCCCGCAACGGCCAACCTAAGAAAGCACACCTACATCGGCCTCAACACAGATGACTTCAAAAGGGTAGGTCACACCTCAAAGTGTGTCCATAGCGGCTTAAACAGAACGCGAAAAGCATGGCCTTTTCAACGGCCACCACAGCAAAGCAAAAAGCAACCCCACAGCCATCGGCCTTGTACAAAACCCCGATGATAATTTCTTGAAAGTGACATGCGTCCAAGGGTTCTCCCACAGGGTTAGCTTGGTCAGGAAATCGCCAAGGAATTGGATTCAGGGAATGCAAGAATCTGCTTCGGCCTAGGGCAATCCTTTACTCCTTCACCCCTCACTTACTCTTTGGCCTGAAGTAGTGGGGGACTAGGGGACTACACCGACCTTTGGAAATCAGGAGGACAAGATCAAAGAAATCTAAAAATATACTAAGTCCACAACTACAACATCAGATCATATATGCACCACAGCGTCCATGACCCTGTCGTGCACCATCGGCCGCAGCAAAATAAGCAGACAAAAGAATTCCCTCCAAAGATGTAACACCTAAGATCACAGTGCACTCAACGGCTTTGAGACCGCATACTCCACTCTCGGCCTGAAATTTAGACGGGAACTCATCATCCTCAAGACATGGACACCAAGCCGCGAATACCATCACTCCTCAGCCAAAGACACAGAATGAGAGCCACAACGACCAAATAAAGCAAACAGCACCCTCATCGGCTACTCGGAGGAAGAAGGACACTCATCATCCTCGAACAGGAAATAACCACAATGGTATCCTCGGCCATGAGTGCAAAGTTCAATCATCAACGGCCAGGAGTAGGGAAACAAGGTCTTCATCGGCCACTCGCGCAAGAGAACGCTCATCGTCTCCACCAAGAAAAGGCACTCGTCGTCTTTGAAACCAGAAACATGCATCATCCGCATTACTAAGGCCCTCTTCGTCTACAACAAAGACCACACAACGGCCAGAACGCAGTACACCCGTAACAATGAAAATCAAGGACCAGAACAAAGGGTGACCGTAACGGCCAAGACTCCATAGCGGCCTCACGACGGCCAGGAAAAAGTCAACACTCGGGACTCTACTCTCCTTCACGTCGTCTTCATCTCAGCTCAGAGAGTGGGGGACTCCTGATGGAGTATATGGGCCTGGACCCCAGGGCCCACATACTCGGGAGAACAGAAGGTGCCACGACCACCTAGTGGGACCCTCGTCGGCCAGATGACCCCCGTCGGCCAGAAAGAGGTCTAGTCAGAATGTGATCCAGAGGCCAGGAAGAGCCAGGTGACCTCGTCGGGCGGGTCTTCGTCGACCACTCCATCATCGGTCGTGCCCTCATCGGCCTCATATGGCCTCCAGAATAGGGTTTTATACTTAATCTTTTCTATGTACTTTGTATCCGGCCCATTAGTGACCCTATTGTAGATGGGCCTCCCAAGCCCAGGACTTGGGAGCATTCTCCAAATTTTTCCTATAAATACTCCATCTGGGAGTAATTGTAAGGGTACACAATTCATTAATACAAAACAAATATACTACTTCTCTCTCTAGCTCTCACTTCTCTCTAGACTTATAGTCTATCAGTGATAAATCACTTTTATAGAAAATTCCAACCGATTCATATTTTTGGAAATCAAAAGACTATTACTAATATTGAGGTCATTTTTTCTTTTGGAAACTTTTTCACATAAATTAACCTTAGGGGGTGTTTGGATTTGATTCTTAAAACTGCGTCTGCTCCTTCAGGGAGTAGAAGCAGAAGTTGGAGTATTTGGGTAAAAGTGCAGAAGTGATTCTGGTGTTCTAATTTACTCCTAGAATCAGTTTTTTTAGAAACTAGGGGTGACCAGCTTCTGAAAACTGATTCTGCTTCTGCTTTAAAAAAGAAGCAGAATCAGAATCAGTTCCAAACACCCCCTTAATAATTCAAACAAAATTACAACCTCCGTCCCGGAATTATCTCCTTATTTGACTGGGCACGAGTTTTAAGATAGTGAGAAATGTGTGGTGAGGAGTTGTGCAGAGGAAAGAGAAATGTGTAAGAATGGTTGTGTAACACCCCAGCCCTGTAGGCCCCGAGGTAGTTACTCCAGACCTCTAGTACTGTCCTCACAAACCGCCACTGGCCTTTTCTGCGCACTTTGTCCTCACTCGTGCGCACCCCGAGAAACTTCCCAGGGGGTCACCCTTCCCAAGACTACTCCTGTGCAAGCAGGCTTAACTTTGAAGTTCTTGGGTGATGAGCTCCCTTAAAAGGAGATGCATCTTGTTGGTATGAGTAGTACTATTAATCCATTTAAATTAAATCTCAAGTGTTACAGGTTGTGAACCACAAATTCTTTGCCAAAAAAGGAAAAAGGAGATAAATTTGTGACGGACCGAAAATGAAAGAATGAAGATAAATCCAGGACGGAGGGAGTACAATTTATGATGGATCGAGACATGGGTTGGTCCGCCTAGCAAGCTACGCGCGCCCCTCTAACCATAATAATTGAAGTTCATCTATTCTTTGATTGTATAGTAGTACCAATTTTGGTAGTTTGACTAATGAAAGCCTAGCTAGAAGGGCAAGTGTGTGAAATAAGCAAACTTGGTGACAAAAAAAAGTTTCGCAAAACACTATATACAAGTAGGGATATTTGCAATTTTAGTCCTGTAAATTTCAGCTGTTATTGTTATTGGTCCAACTTTAACCACTTGAAAATTTGGTCCTGTAACTAATAAATCCTTGCGATTCAAGGACTTTTCCACCGGAAAGTACACTTTCCGGCAGAAAAATCTGACGCAGGTGACATCTTTTCCGGTATACTATCACCGGAAAGTGTGATTTTCCGGGGAAAAGTTCTTAAATTGCTTCGAACACCTAAGTTCACAAGAAATTAAAAAAATTCAATACAATTAAAACGTAACTCAAGTTATTCAAATATGATTTTTTTTCAAATAAATAATTTTAAACTTTATTGATTCGAACACCTAAGTTCACAACTAAATGAAGATATTTTCATGTACGTAGTAGCATTTATTATATCTTTTATCACGACTAAAATGGATCTCATATTTAGAGATCGAGCATCACATATAGTACGTTAAATTAATTTTATTTATGATTTATCAGTGTTTAACTCAATTTCATTAAATTAAATAAAACTGTTTACTACGTAGAATGACAGAACCGTATAGTAAATGCTGGGATATTGACCTAGAGGCCCAATACCCAGATCGAGAAGGCCCAAGATATCCGGCCCAAGCAACGGGCTCATCACTCTATGATGAATAGATCCAGTAAGAAGACATACCGAACGGAGTTCGGCCCAAATAAATGTTGGCCCAGTAAGAAGACATATCGAACGGGGTTCGGGCTATATATCGTACTTGGACCAATTTGACAGCATCTTCAGTACAGCCCAACATCCCGTTCGAGCAACGGCCAACCAGCAAGTGGCCAGGTGCAATTAATGTCAGACTATGACATCAGCAAGTGGAAGCATGGATGACCAAGTCGGTGGAACAACAGCCAATCACCATGGGGCAGCCCATGCTCTCCATTAGTATAAATAGAAGGTTTCAAGTCATTGTAAGGGTTAGCATTTCAATACTCAGGCTCTAGAATAACATCATTGCTCTTATTTCTTGTATTAAAGCATAGTTTCCGACCTACCGATCAGGAAATTCCTTGTAATCAGACTGGTTAATTAATACAAGTGAGCTTTCGAGTGTTAGTTAGTTCAGATCTATATTTTTTACACGCTTTGACTCTGTGCCATTCCTGATATATCCAAAGTTCATGTTGGGCTTTCGGATCTACGGGACTTACCATCAACATTGGCGCCGTTTGTGGGAAACATGCAAAAAGTTTCACATTCAAATCATCCAAAAACCTCTATTTTCAAAAATGGTCAGAATCAGTTCCTATCATACAAGCAACGGTTCACACCGTCACGGGAGGAGTCACACCCCGGGGAGTCAAAACCCTCAGGGACAATCCAGTCGAGGATCGTATCCTCGTTTTGATGGGGATTTTGTTATTCCCGAATCTCTAAGAAGAAATCCTCAGGCCATGCGTGACATGGCCCAGGTCATGCAGCATATGGCGAACGAAGAGGAAGGAGGTTCCAGCTTTACAGGGGAGACTCCACGCACGGAAACAACCACGACGTCATCCCGCTCGCATGCCCATCGGGATAATCGACGTAGCGCCCCACCAACAGCGCACCACAGCCCCAGTGACCGAACCCCGGTCAGATCACAAGCTAGAGGACCAACTCCCGTTGGTCATCATTTCCAGTATGCCGAGCGGGAAAATACTAGGGCCCCTCAACGACAATGAGACCGGGATTGTACGGATATGAGGGCTCCACCACCGCCCCCTTTGACGGCCCAGGAGGAAGAAATGGCCGAGATGAGGAGGCAAATGAATGAAATGCGAGACCAGATGAACAGGGCGCCTGTACAACCTGCCCCGGTTCAGCTGGGAATTACTTCCCCGTTTACTAGGGAACTCATGTACGCAGATATCCAAGGGGGTGCCAAACCCCCGACCGGCCAAATCTATGACGGGGTGGGAGATCCCCACGTACATCTGAGGAGTTACCAAGGGGAACTCATGCTGCTAGGAGCACCCGAGGCCGCCATTTACCGGTTGTTTTTCAGCACGCTCAGGGGGCCTGCCCAGGAGTGGTTCGGGACACTGCAGCCTGGGTCAATCAACAGCTTTGCCGAGTTATCGGCGTTATTCTTGGCTCAGTTTGCTTCCAGTGCCAATCCCAAATGACACTTCAGCTATTTGACCAGCGTGAAGCAAAACGCCAAAGAGACCCTCAATCAATTCCTGAAAAGGTGGAGGGATGAAACTTTAACGGTGGGAAACATGACGGATGATACCGCCATTACCCTATTCACAAATGCTCTCCGAACGGGGGAGTTGTACAAAGAGTTGAAGAAAAATCCGGGTACGGTGTACGCCGAAGTATTAGATAGGGCTCGCAAGCATGCCGCCCTAGAAGAGGAGATAATGATCAGGGATAAGGTCATTGCGTCTGCTGCCCCGATCAGAATGGCCGATCGGCTGGGTCCTAGCCCAGCGGCCGCTTTACCTCCCAAACAAGGGAGATTTACACCCCTGGTCCTATCAGTAGCGACCATCTATCAGCACGAGAGGGACAATATTCCCCTCCCGACTGATTCTGGACAGTTCATGGGAGCGGATGATAATGCTTTCTGTAAATATCACAACAGAAAGGGTCATGCCACCAATGCCTGCAGGGCCCTACAAACAGCCATTGAGGATTTGATCCGAAGGGGTCATCTGGGCAAATATGTAAATAAAGATCCAAATGCTATGGGCACGTTGAAACCGGCCAGGAAACCTAATAGCTGGCGTCAGGATGCTCAACGTGACGCCCAGCCTCAAAATGATGTGTATGTTCCTCCCAGGGATGAACCAGAGGGCTCGGGAGGCCCTGGAAAGAAGCCTTGAATGGAGGTCAAGGTTATATTTGGGGGCGGGGAGACAGGAGATTCGAACGCCGAACGGAAAAGGTTCGAGCGAAGTCTTTATGTGGGATCCGTCTCCACTCCCCCCCCAGAAGAAAGGAAGGACAGACCCGATCACGTTCGGGCCAGCTGATTTACCCAACTCTCCAAGCCCACACAGGGATGAACTTCTGGTAAGCATGTGTATTGACAATGCTTTGATCCGCCGAGTACTGGTCGATACCGGGAGCAGTGTGAATGTATTGTATCTACAATCATTCGAGAAAATGGGTCTACAAAGGAGCCAACTGACCCACCTACGGACCCCACTGGCAAGTTTCACCGGTAACTGCATCGAGGCTGAGGGGACCATCCAATTAATGGTTGAAATTGGGGATGAAACCCACAAAGCGTCACTCCGAATGACGTTCGTGGTAGTAGATATAAAGTGTGCCCACAATGCCATATTGGGCCGACCGGGACTGGAAGATCTGTAGGCAATAGCCTCTGTCCGCCACTCATGCATCAAATTACCTACAGACACTGGGGTTGGGGTGGCCAGAACTGATCCAACGACAGCCTGGACATGTTATCGGGAGGCCCTGAAACAGATGAACACTCGTGGGATGCGGGTGAATACAATTGAGGTGGAAACCCACCGAACGGAGTTCGAGGCGCACCCAGAGCCCGCCACCCTTCTCGAACAAATCGACCTCGATTTCCCCCCGAACCGTAAGGTGGCTATCGGGGTAGATCTGGAGGCTGATATCCGGGATGGCGTGATTTTCGTCCTCAAAAAGTTTCAGATACTGTTTGCCCGGGGGCCAGAAGATATGCCCGGTATTGATCCGGAGATAATATGTCACAAACTTGCCGTTCGGCCTGATGCAAAACCAGTGCAGCAGAAGAAACGGTATCAAGCAACCGAACGGTGGGAATTCACAAAGAAGGAGGTGGCCACCTTGCTGAGAATAAAGCACATCCGTCCGGTAATCCACGTAGAATGGCTATCCAATGTGGTTCTAGCCCCAAAACAATCTACTTGGAGAATGTGCGCGGATTACTCTGACCTGAATAAAGCGTGCCCCATGGATCCCTATCCAGTGCCGAGGATCGATCTGCTAGTGGATGAAACTGCCGGATGTGAATTATTGAGCTTCATGGATGCTTTCCGGGGTTATCATCAGATATTCATGCACCCGGCTGATGCAGAGAAAACGACGTTCATTATTTCGGATGGTGTGTTTTGCTATATCGTCATGCCATTCGGATTAAAGAACGCGATGGCAACTTTTCAGAGGATGATCGGGATGCTGTTCAAAGAAGTGCTGGGTGTCACAATGGAAGCTTATGTTGATGACATCCTGATCAAAAGCAAAAAGAAGGAAAACCATGTCCTGGATATAGAGAAGGTGTTCGGGATAATGCAAAAAGCAAATATGAAGCTGAATTCCAAGAAATGTGCTTTTGCTGTAAAAGGGGGCAAATTTTTGGGATACATGATGAGCGAGAAGGGGATTGAGCCCAACCCAAAAAAAGTAAAGGCAATTGTGGACATGGAGGCTCCAAGAAATCTCAAAGAAGTGCAGAGATTGACCGGTCGGTTAGCAGCCCTGAGCAGATTCCTATCCAAACTGGCCGATCGAGCTATTCCATTCTTCCAAATCATGAAGAAAGCCAACCCTTTTGAATGGACGGCCGAATGCCAAACGGCCTTTGAAGATTTCAAAACGTATCTATCTTCCCCTCTGGTCTTGACAAAACCCGAACCAGGGGAGCACCTGTATATGTACCTAGCTGTAGTTGATCTGGCCGTAAGCACAGTACTGTTGAAAGAAGAAGATGGCGTTCAACGGCCAATCTATTTTGTAAGCAAGGCGTTGAACGGCCCGGAAACCAGGTACACCTTGCTAGAGAAAAATGTACTGGCCCTGATAGCTGCCATTAAACGTCTGGCACCGTATTTCCAGACCCACCCGGTAACTGTGTATACTACCCAGCCATTAGCCACCATCTTGAGAAATCCTATGGCAAGTGGACGCATTACCAAGTGGAGCCTCCTGATCGGGCAATACGAGGTGGATTTCAAACCCCGGCCTACTATCAAAGGGCAGGCCCTGGCAGATTTCATTGCAGAATGTACCGCCCGGCCCTCAGAAACAGATTCAGAGAACAATGGGCTGGATAACTGGTGGGAAATGTATGTGGATGGTGCAGCTAGTGCCAAGGGTTGTGGAGCTGGAGCTGTGATCACATCGCCCGAGGGGTTCAAAGCATATTATTCCATTCATTTTGACTTCAAGGTAACCAATAATGAGGCTGAATATGAGGCTCTCATTGCTGGTTTAAAATATGCAAGGGCCCTGGGTGCCGATCGGTTAAAAGTCCGATCGGATAGTCAATTGGTAGTACATCAAGTAAACGGCACTGCTGAGGCCAAAGAAGAGAGGATGAAGGCCTACAAGGAGATAGTTGAGGAGCAGATACGTAAATTTGAACAGGTGGTGCTCGACCAAATATCCAGGATTGAAAATACTGAAGCAGATATCCTATCCAAGTTAGAAAATGCAGCGTTCGACGATCGAGCACAGGAAATCCCGGCTCACATCCAACGTTTTGCCCATCGGGAAACATTGGCGACCCCAGCAATCATGGTGCTCCAGGTCGAGGCCATATCCTATGTCGTCCCGAGCTGGGTCACGGATATGACCAACTAACTGAAGGACGGAACCCTCCCACAGGATAAGAATCCTGCTTATCAAATAAAATGCATCCAGAGGAGGGCTTCCATGTTCGAATTAGTAGATGGACATCTGTACAAAAAGACGTTTGGCGAGCCTTATCTGAAATGCCTCCCACCCGATCTAGCGGCGGCTGTAATGGACGAAATTCATGAAGGTGTCTGTTCCAGCCACCAAGGGCCGAAGACACTGGCCAGAAAAATCATCCTACAAGGGTATTATTGGCCGACTATCCAGCAGGACTGCTTTGCACATACTAAGAAATGTAGGGTATGCCAACTGTACGCACCGGTTCCAGAAGAATCATTCTGGATGACCGAATGACGAACGGGTTAACAGTTTGGAGGGAGCTGAGTCGTCAACTTAGCCAAAGTCGACCCTGTAATTACGTACGAGAAAAGGGATCAAAACGGCTTGGAGATTGTGTCAAGACTGTAAGATATGGATTAACCGAGCGACGTTCGGATAAGGTACAGATTGTCACCCGGTGAATCGGAACTATGGTTTTGAAAAAGCTCGCCTCAGTCATGAATTTGATTCGGAAGCGAGTCGCCCTTTTAGCTATAAGTAAGGAATGACCCAAATTCGGTGATCTTGCTTACACTTCGAAAAGGGTTACCTCAGACCCCTAATATGGATGATACGAGCCAGAGATAATAGTTCGGAATGCATCGGAATTATGGGTTTGGAAGGGAGATAGTCTCACCTCAGCTTGTTAACACATGGGATCATTCCGGATGACCGAATGACGAACGGGTTAACAGTTTGGAGGGAGCCCCTGTCCCAGTCGAGAGTTTGACCCTGTGGTCACGATCAAAACGGCTTGGAGGAATTCACCTCAGCTAAGAGTTTTGAACCCGTGCGTCACGAACGGAAAAAGGGATCAAAACGGGTTCGGGAAAGGTGTCAGAACAATTATGAAGAGATAGCCTCACCTCAGCTTGTTAACACATGGGATCATTCCGGATGACCGAATGACGAACGGGTTAACAGTTTGGAGGGAGCCCCTGTCCCAGCTGAGAGTTTGACCCTGTGGTCACGATCAAAGCGGCTTGGAGGAATTCACCTCAGCTAAGAGTTTTGAACCCGTGCGTCACGAACAGAAAAGGGATCAAAACGGGCTCGGGAAAGGTGTCAGACATAAAGATACATGAACCAAGTGAGGTTCGGCCACATAGAAAAGATTGTGAACAGAAAATCAAAGAATAGAAAAAAGACAACAGATAAGGAAAGAAGTCCAGTTTATTCTTCGGCATTACTAGCCGGAATATACAAGAAGAATAAAGAAGCAAAAATTACAGTAAGGCTATGCTATTGGAGGATTGCCGTTCGGGGAGGATGGAGGCTGAGAGCTCCCTGCCTGCACTGCATCATCAGGCGCTGCTTTGGATCTTTTCTCCATGATGCGATCATATGTGTTCCCGAACAGATCATCGAAGCCTAATTCATCAGGATCGAACGGCTTGGGGAAATGTTCTAAAATCAGTTCAAGATTCCTGTCCAGAAGCAGGTCCTGACTTTGCTTCATAGTTTTCTCGGTCAGGACATCCAAGAAAGATTTCCCTTCCGGCGTGCTGTCCAGGAGGTCGATCCCTGCCTTGATGGGATCTGAGCTCTCACGCAAAAATTGGCCAAGGTGAGGACCTAGGAATTGCCGGGCCGTGTTCTCCAGAGCGACGTTCAGTCCCTTGCCCCGTTGAAAATCCACTATCGATTGTTGAGCAATCTGGGAAGTATTGACCGTGTAAGGTTCGGGCAGATGGTCGCCAACAGCTTTATCAAATTTGATACCAGCAGATTCAGCAGCCCGCACCTTGGCCCAGAGTTCTTTTAGCTCCCGATCGCGACGACGGGACTTCTCCTGCATCTCAGCCATAGCAGCTTTTGCCTTCTCATCCTCCTTGGCCTGCTCTTGGAGATCGGTCGCTAACTTCCGAGCGGCAGAAAGGAGGACCTGGCCGTCATCCCCATCGCTGGCCAGGGCTTTCATTTCCTTCTCAGCTGCAAGAAAGGCCTTGTGATAATATACGCCAGCCTGAAAACGAGATTACAATGAAAGTCAGATAAAGTAAAACATGAAGAAATGGAAATGCATGGATCGGAATGAAGTGTACCTTGAGTGCTTCCTGGTGACCTGCTTCGAAAAGATCCGACCAGTGGGTCAGGTTCGTGAAGCTTGGGGGGACCTTGATTGCAGTGTGACACCACATAGAAGATGGCATCAACCCAAACAGATACCTCCCTTCTGATCTGGGCCCCATGTTTGAAAACTCGACAAACATCCGATCATCGATCGGTGCGTCAGTAAGAGCCGGAGTTGATTTGTTGGCAGGCACCGATCTTTTGGGCTCAACCTCCGGCCCGGTCAAATCAACCACATGGTCGATCGGGATTAGTTGATCGCCATCATTCCCCTTGCGCTTCTTACGGGTTTGCTCCGCCGAGTCACGATCGGCTATCATCTTCTCCTTTCCTTTACCAGAAGAAGCCGTCAAGGTAGCAGAAGAGATAGAGCGCCGGACGGGTATGGGAGATATCACACCTGCAAGAAAGAGGAATAAAAAATAAGAAGCTGATTTGTGAGAATGAAGGATGATCGGGTTAAAATCCTACTACGCTTACCGATTCCAGCAGATAACATGCTTGAAGTAGTGACAAAACTCCGAAGACTTCGGGTTCCGCCCATCCGCAAAGACTCAGCTTGAGAGCGTAGAACGGCGTCCACCCTGGGCTGAGAATCCCGAACGGGGTATGTGTTCCATCTATCCGGGAATGGAAGAGAATCACCTACCCGAACGAACAAGAAAGGTTCCTCCCAGTCAGCCGGCGGGGTAAGATTCTCTGTGAACAGCTGACGATCAGAACGAGCTACCAGTTTCAGGTACCCGGTCGTCCAGTAAGGTTGATAGCAGTAATGATGAAGAAACAGATCGACGCTTGGAGTGATCCTCAACTCATGGCATCGAATGATGAAGCCTGTCAGAATGCGGTAAGTGTTGGGCACGAACTGAGCGGGCAGTACAGCAACCCGGCGTAAGAACTCCACTATGAATGAATGGAGAGGGAAGCGAAGCCCAGCAGTCAGAGCGTCAAGGTGCACTAGCACGTGCCCCGGTCGGTGCCTCATCGGGTGCCGAATGAATCCGGCGTAGTATTCCCTTGGTGGGGGCAACAACTGGCCAAGTTGCCGTTCGACATCTTCTGGAAGACGTTGTTTTTGTTTGCGTATGCGAGTGAAGTGTAGGGGAATGCGGGGTGGCCGTTCAGGCATCCCCTTGTTATAGACTTGGACGTCATCTCCGGATAGACATCCGTCATCCTGTGGCTGTTCGGTATGTTTGATGGCCTGAGGATTGGCGGGTTTAGGTGTTTGGGACGAAGAGCATTCGGCCTTGTTACCAGCGGATGTCTTGCTTGTGCGAATCAAAGGCATCTCTTCAGATTCTGAGCTAGAGGGGTAGTACATAAAAACACTGGAGAAAACTCTGGGAATTCTAGAGAGAGAAGGCTTGAAAGTACGCAAAAGAATTCTGGGAATTCTAGAGAGAGAAAGCTCGAAAGAAAAATGAGGAAACAACAGAAGAAATTAGGGGAAGCACCTCTCTATAAATAGGGAAAGTGCCGCACAAATCCATAATCCATGAGCAACACGTGGCATTGGGTGGTTACGATTAATCTGGGGCATTTATGATTCATTTTTGTGCACGTACCCCGAACGGGCTTACAGGGGAACAGTAAAGATAACGGGGAAATGGCTAAAATCTATTTAGATCATCGATTACCGAATGACGAACGGGCTTGCAGAGGATTAACAAAGATCACAGGGACTTGCTGTTTAGAATAACCAAGAAAACGGCTAAGTCCTAAAAATTGACCTGAAGCCCGACCGGCTATCAATGTCGTAAAAGGTTATCTGAAGTCAAAAGGCTGTCCTAAAAATTGATCTGAAGCCCGAACGACTACCAACTTACGGAGAAGCCCATGTGCGAAGAAAACCAAGAAAACGGCTAAGTCCTAAAAATTGACCTGAAGCCCGACCGGCTATCAATGTCATAAAAGGTTATCTGAAGTCAAACGGCTGTCCTAAAAATTGATCTGAAGCCCGAACGACTACCAACTTACGGAGAAGCCCAGGTGCGAAGAAAACCAAGAAAACAGCTGTCCTAAGAATTGATCTGAAGTTCGACCGGCTATCAACGTTGTAAAAAATTATCTAAAGCCAGAATGTGCTAAGTCCTAAAAAATGGTCTGAAGCCCGAACGGCTGAGTCCCAGAGAGAAGGGGTTTTTTCCTTAATAAATTATCAGAACCTTCTAATGCCCGAACGGCGATCAACGGCATTAGGAGTATTTGAGCAAGAAATAAAGTCAGGAAATTGGCGAGTAAATCATGCAATAAAGACAGAAAAGACAGTACACAAAGCTTCATGCAAAAAAAGGATATATATTCATCGGTTCTACTGACCGGGAAGTACAAGCTACTTAGAGAAAAGAAAATTACAACAAGTAATTAAAAAGTACATATAGATTATTGGCCAGGGGCCATTTCATCTCCCTCTTCGTCCTCGTCCTCATCATCATCAGACGGGGGCTCAGGCTCTCTCCCAGCAGCCCGATCAGCTTCCCGTTGCTGAGCTCGCAGAAATTTCTCGAACTGAGCGTGTATAATGTCATCTTTGGGAAGATCATAAGCCTGAACCGGCCTCCCCAGGTTATTTTGAAGCTGAGCAACGAAGGGACGCAGCAGGACCTGGCCAATTTTGCCATAAAGGTCTGAAACAATGGAGTCGTTCCATTTTTTGGCCTCGAGATCCTTGTCCAAGAGGGCCACCCCTGCCGATAGCCGACCAGCACCTTTGGGGAAACCCTTCAAGTACGCCCCAAAGGCGAACGGGATTTGGGTCCTTGCGTGATCATCCTTGATGATGGAGAATTCATCAGAGGATTTAAATGTTTCCCGGACGGCGGACAGATCCACGTTCACTTCATAGGGACCGTCCGGGATGCTGGATGGCATTTCTTCAAACTTGACCTGTGCGGCCTCAGCGGCAAGGACCTTTGCCTGGGAAGCTGCAAGTTGGACCCGAAGGGTACCGAGCTCAGCATCCAGCCTCTGCTTCTCCTCCGCAAAGGCCTTCCGTTCGGCCTCCAGAGAGGTGATGGCGGCAGCAGCATTTTGCTCAGCAGAAGATTGGGCTTGGCCAGACGGGCTTCCCGCATTTGAAGGGTGTACAAACCCATCTACAGAGCACCGTTCGAGAGTTAGTACTGATTACAGAGAATAAAATAAAAACAAAGCGCAAAAGATAATGTACCTTCAGAGCGGTCAAGGCCAGACATTCTTCAGATTGCTCGACCGGCAACTGAGGAAGGGAAAAATTTTTGAACCAAGAGGAGGTCGACCAGATCTGGCTCGCGGTAGAACCAGCCCTTTCTAATACCTCGTGGACAGGATCAGATAAGGAGATCCGCTCGACCTGACCAGTAATATGGTCGGTGTGGGTCTCACCTGCATTCGAGGGTTCCCCCCGAACGGAGTCAAAATGCTGAGAGAACTGATGCAGTTGGTCTGAGCCGAACCGATCGTCGACCAGCATGGCCTCGAATTGGTCCTGATGGACCTGCAGTATTGGTTGTGGCTCTGGAAGCGGTTGAGAAGAGGCAGCATCCTGAGCAGGAACAATGGAGGGAGTAGGTTGCGGGTTCTTCCTGGAATTTTTCCGTTTACCGGCCCCACCGACTGCGATAACTCTGCTATCATCCATAGGTAGATCTGGGTTTGGTGCTGAAAAAAGACAAAGGACAATGTTAGTATCGAGCGGCCTTAGCGTGTGAGAAACTAGAAAAAAGAACAAAAGAACGTTTCTCGCACAGGAAGGACCGCCCGGACTATGGCACTTGGTTTCTCAAAACAAGTAAACCCAAGAGAACGGGGAGTACCTATCCCGGCTGTAATAAGTCGTTCGGGAGTAAGATAACTCATGATGTCCATGCATTTATCCTTCTCCACAGCAAGCACGTCCTTGTAAATTTCTTCAGTGAGGACAGGATCAGGAGTTTTGCGGGGGAAGGCATTCCATTTGCGGGGAATTAGGCCGTCCGGGACAGACACGAAGAAAAACCAGTCTTTCCACCCTTTGATTGAAGTTGGGTTTCCCTTGAACAGGATGTGTCCCGTTCGGGCACTAGTGGCCAGATAGCCGTGGGTTTGTTGGGGGGCTACCTTGAAAAATTGGTGGAAGAGTTCTAGGGTTGGTCGGGCGCCGACATCTTTACAACGGCAAATAAAACCCGCCATTGCCCGATAGGAGTTCGGCATAATTTGGGCCGGTACGACTTCGTAGAAATTGAAGAATGAAATGTAAGAAGGGTGTAGCGGAAACCTAAGGCCGGCCCTAATTGAGTCAAAATGAACTATGGTCATTCCGGGCCTATGACGCATTGGGTGAAGCCCAACTTGCAAACGAAAATCCACCAGGTCAGGGATAAGGGCCGGAATTTCGGCCCTATTATGGGAGGTCAGTTTTTGCCGCCTCTCCCTAATCAATTTTAGGTCAAGGGTATGGCGAGGAAAATCGTTGGGACGTCCGGCCGCCATGGAGGCTATTTCGTCCTCGGATTTGGTGTCGTCGGAATCTTCACTGGAGGAAGAAGAAGTGCTAGGAAGGTCCTCCGCCTCAGCCCTGGTATTCGTCGCCGTTTCAGTAGAACCACCGGCAAACGGGACTGTGATGACGTCCACAATGGCGGCGTCACGGTCATCTCCATGGGAGGCCATCTCCGAATCAGAGGAATGCTGTTTGGGGCTCATCTCGGTCGAGCCAGAAATGAAGATAAGGAATCCGGATTTGAGAAGTTACCTGAGCGATGGAAGCTGGGAGAGAATTGCAGGGGAATCAACAAGGCGCAGAGAATTGCAGAATCGAAACCCGGAATTGAGAAGTTAAAGGCTAATTTATAGCCTTGAAACCGTCGTGTCAAGAACCAATCAGAGAGCGACACGTCACAAGGAGCATTTAAGCTAAACACGTGTCTAATGAAAAGACTAAATGACGGTTATCATGATGAATATGGGGAAATGAAGCGGCAGCCGTCAAATCGCAGCATGGGGAACTGATTACTTCTGTACCCTGATCGCCATTCGGGGTATTATAACATTGATATACTTCCTAATGCACTCACTATCGTTCGAGACATCGGAAGTGGGGGACTTGTGTTGGGATATTGACCTAGAGGCCCAATACCCAGATCGAGAAGGCCCAAGATATCCGGCCCAAGCAACGGACCCATCACTCTATGATGAATAGATCCAGTAAGAAGACATACCGAACGGAGTTCGGCCCAAATAAAGGTTGGCCCAGTAAGAAGACATACCGAACGAGGTTCGGGCTATATATCGTACTTGGGCCAATTTGACAGCATCTTCAGTACAGCCCAACATCCCGTTCGAGCAACGGCCAACCAGCAAGTGGCCAGGTGCAATTAATGTCAGACTATGACATCAGCAAGTGGAAGCATGGATGACCAAGTCGGTGGAACAACGGCCAATCAGCATGGGGCAGCCCATGCTCTCCATTAGTATAAATAGAAGGTTTCAAGTCATTGTAAGGGTTAGCATTTCAATACTCAGGCTCTAGAATAGCATCATTGCTCTTATTTCTTGTATTAAAGCATAGTTTCCGACCTACCGATCGGGAAATTCCTTGTAATCAGACTGGTTAATTAATACAAGTGAGCTTTCGAGTGTTAGTTAGTTCAGATCTATATTTTTTACACGCTTTGATTCTGTGTCATTCCTGATATATCCAAAGTTCGTGTTGGGCTTTCCGATCTACGAGACTTACCCTCAACAGTAAAAAAACAGAAAAAAGTGATACTCCGTATGATATGACTATTTTATGTATGTAGAGCAAATAAGCTTATCAGTTTCTTGACATGATCAGCAAATCTCCCATTTATATTTAAATAATCCCTTCATCTCTATTAAACTCATTATGTTTGACTTTAGCGCAGTACTTTAAACGGCGCAAAGTACCCATTTCACATGAACATCATGAACATGAACATCATCTTGATGAAATCATAAGTTCAACTTGAATGTTATTTGAATGTTATTTGATTTGAATGTTATTTGATGATCATATAAAGATAATGATTTTAACTTAGTCTCGTTGTATATATTGTTAATATGCCTTATTTTTTTGTCATTATTTTACAAAATTATGTCTTGGACTTAATTACGATGTTTTATTTTTGTCATCAACTTATGCATTTATGAATAATTCTTTTATCTAGTAATGAGATTTGCTACTTGAATATGTGTATAATGTTATTTTTTTACTATATATGTTGTTTTTGAAGGATAACATTAATTGGACAAAAAATACGGGATATTATTTCGAACATTTAAATTATATATATAATTTAAATGTTCGAAATAATATCCCGTATTTTTAGTGCGGATTTTTGTAACAGATATCGTATTATACACGTATAAGTGTTTACATGTTTTTTAAAAGTTAACGTTTTCTCAACGAATTTTTGACCATTTTTTCCATTCATATAAAACACGTACGTATTAAACCTCGTTTAATTCTCGTACCGTATATAACTAACTATGTCTTAGACTAGACTAGTGTGGACTTTCCTCCAAGGGCGGTCCTGTCTGTTTCAAGACCTAGGGGCGAGTGATCTATAATAGCCTCAATATAAAACCTAAATTTTGGGCCTAATTGTTTTACACTTCTTTGGGGAATAGGGGTTTTGCCCCTGCTGCCCCCCACCCAAGGCCGCCCTTGCTTTCCTCAATTTAATTTTTTTCAATTTTTCAAAGTAATTTTTATGAATTTAAATCATATCGTTAACATTTAAGTCTAATATAATTACCGGATTCATTGTTGTTTTGTACCCCCATTGTGTTGCAAAGTTAATTATATTTTTGGGTCAAATGGATACTCCTATATTTTATGAATCTAATTAGAATACCAACTCAATCTTAATTAAATTTAAATATGGATTTACAATTGTATACAAATTTGAATGTAGTTTCTTAATAGGGAGATTCAACTTTAACTGACCAAATTTTAAAAATTTTAATATTTTTGGTGTAAAAATTTTCATGTAAAATTTTATCCAAGACTATTTTTTGTACCACCTGACGCTGCCCCAGCAAAATATATTAACTTTTAAAAAATAATTTGAATCCCCTATTCAAGTTAATTGAAATAGAGTGTAGACAATCATATTTAATGACCTTCCATTAATTTAATATACTCCATATTTGGTTAGAAATTAGAATATTGACCTGAAAAAAACCGTAGAGGCGGCAGGCATCTCCAATTTGCCGGACGATGAGGTTTCTGTCTCCGCAGCCCAAATCGATGACCGGAATATCGTCGCAGGTGGCAGATGCTGATAGCTGTGGCCTTTGTGATAGGGGATGGACATAACTATGGGGGAGGGTGGCATATCGGGTTCCGTTGGAAAGAAACATCGCAGCCATTGCTCGGAATATAATCGAGTCGCCGCCGGCCGGAGAAAAAGGAAGATTCTATGGTGAGTATAGGGGGAGGTTATGAGGAGAAGAAGGCGCTCTTTATAGTGACTTGTTTTGCCCTCCACGTACCTACTCCGTATTCATCGATTGTTAAGAAATATACTTCACGTAGTATATGTCATTCTCTATGTCATCCTATAAGTCATACTGTAAAAAAATAGTTTCCCACTTTCGTCACTTAAACTAATTTCTAAAGATTAAAAGCCCGTTCCGTAAACCTGTTTTCTAGTTTATCAACCATTTTTTTCACAACACAAGTAAATTTTTATTATGCACGTTGAATTATGTATTATTATAAAAAAATAAAGTTATAGTTACTTTTTTAGCTGTATTGATTGAAGTTATTATTTTAGCTATTTTCATATAATTTTTTTCTTTATTTAATAAATAAATATATTTTAAATATAAATTTTTTTCATACGTTTATTGCATTAGAAGTTCAATAAAAACAATCACACAGGGCAACTTGGGGAGCTGCGAAGGTAAACCCTAGTCATCTCCCCCTCTTCTCTTCTTCTCAATCAATTATATTCTCTCCTTCTAAAGATGAAAATTCATCTCTTTCATAATTAGTTTGAAGTTATTTTATGTGTTTTCTTTCTAACAATGTCTAGGGTTTGTGTATTCCTCATCGGTGAAACTAACTGGTGTTAAAATTTTATTGTAAGTGGATGACAATGCTTATATTGCTCGATTTGTTTGGGGGCTTAATTTCATAGATCGGTGACGTCAAGGCCTCAATTATTCGCCCTTCTCCTGAACCACGGTCGTGCTATGTGAGAGAGGTAACGTTCGATTGGATCTTCTTTTCGATAGCTGATCAAACTGAGGATCCTAGTTGTTTCTATCCGGTGTGTTATGTGAAAAAATTATATGTAAAATAGCTAAAATGGTCCTCTACAGTAACTTCAGCCGATACAGTCAGAAAAGTAACTCTAACCTTACTTTTTATGCTTATTACAAAATTAAACGCGAAATCAAAAATTACGTATTTGATGAAAAAGTTGATTGATAAGGCGAAAAAAGGGATCACCAAACCGGCTCATAGCTTAGAAGACCGGATATGGGAAACCACCATCCGGAAAAGCACACAGCCACCCAAATCAACGGCGGGAAACTCACACAGCTGAGCTGCCATCTACTTCAGGGCCAGGGCCAGGGCCAGGGCCAGGGCCATCAGCTGAGAAACCAGTCCGTCACAATTTCACCAGGTCACGTGGTCGACAGTCAGTCTGGAATGGACACAACGTCACCTGGTACAATCACATGGGCTGACCTCGTTAGGATGGATAAAGACAAACTACGACTCTCTACTTAATGAAAACACAATTACTCTCCAAGATTGTACACGTAGGGACTCTTTTGGGAAAAACATTCATCACGCACCGACGAATGATTTATGCAAAGAATCCGAAATTTACAATTTCTTTGGAGAGGAGGGTTTTGATTCTATCAAAATAGAAACAAAATCATTTAGATTTCCTGCTAGAAAAAATGAAATTGTTATTTTGAAATTAAAAAATCCTCCCTACACAGGATTAATTTCAAAAAAGAGCAAGCACCCCATATATGCAGATTCATCAACCACCTCACCGGATCAGAAAATTTAAGACAAATCAGACGATTTGATTCGATTAGATCTGGACAAAACCGGCCCGACCCGCCCGGCCCGCCCCGCCTGCCCGCACAAATGGGCGGACTTGGGCATATATATTAACCCACTGGACCGGCCCGAGCCCGGCCTGCAATAAGATATGGGCGGGTTTGGGTTATGGTGTAGGCTCGTTCGGGCTGATAAGCCCGACCCGCTACATTTAGTATATATAAATATATACTCCGGTCTAAGTATATTTATATATACTAATTTATTTATTTGCATATACACATGTATATTTATATTGAATAATTTTTCTTTATACATATTTATAGTTTATTATGTTTAAATTTAAATTTTCAGTTCTTAACAACTAGCCCAACCAATATAATATCTATTTTTGTACTTAAAGACAATACTTTGTGCCTAAATTTTAAATTTTAGATATAGTTTTTCATTATTATTTTTGTGTAAGTATTTTTTGTATGTGGTGAAAGACGTATAAACATTATAAGCGTATTAATTATTTTTTAAATGATGTAATATTATTTTTAAATTATTTTTAAAAATCATATAATTTTGAAAAAATTAAAGTTTTCCCGGGTCGGGCGGCCAGTGGACTACCCGGCCTGCTCTTATGGGCGGGTATGGACATAGGATTAGGCCCGTTTCTGCGGGCCGGGCGGGCCCGCCCACACATGATGGGCAGAAAATTTATAAAAAGCCCGGCCCGAGCCCGGCCCGAACCCGTTTTTGTACAGATCTAAGTAATAGTGCTCTAAAAAAATATTTCAGGAGTGTACGGAATACACTAAACAGGAGAGCACTAATTCCTCTAAACCGAATTTCAGGAGTGTACGTAGTACACTGAACAGAACATGAGTATCCTAGTCAGAGTACCGGATCAAGAACAAGGCTTTATTTTCGTATAATACTTATCAGATCTTTTATTTTAATTACAAATATATATTCACATTTATCAATGATTTTCGAAAATAAGATTTTATCTAACAGCTGAAATTACTTATTAAATATGTACTGCAATTAACAATTACGAAACTAACACAAACTTAATTCAAACTATATATTAATAATTATGTGAACCATAAATTTCAAGTTATCTTAATTTTTCGTTATATTGATAAATAATTAAAGTACGTAACATTCGTCTTAAACTTCATAAATTTTGGCCATCCAGACGGAATTATTTATTATACGTACTTATATATGTAATAATAAGTGACCTACGTATATGCCTTAAAGGCTTAAAGCATATATCTACTGTATCATGTTATATTATTGCCAATTTAAAGATGTTATTATTACCTACGTAAGTCACAGTGAATCTATCTATTGCATTTGCATGTTCAATTTCTATTAATTCAGTAATTACTAATTTGGTTATTGCGTGACTATTTTCCTTTCTTTTATTACTGTAAAAAGACCTAATTATGTCACCATTAAAACAAGTTATATATTTATATAGCTTATAATAAAGCTGTCTTAATTCTTAACGTATAAATTAGTGTAAAATGCAATGCATGCAAAAACATATATACGGATAGATAAATATGTTAATACAGTACATGCTAATCATATTTATCAATATTTTGCTAACACCCCATGTATCTGAATATTTTATGTTTAATAACAACTCCTCACCTTTTTAACAAATATATATGTCACCTGGGGTTATCCCTTTTTTTTGTATGCATCGCAAGAAGTATTTTCTTATTACTCATTTAATCACTAGTATTTTACTATACTAACATACTTACATATCCAAATATTCCTATTAGTAATCTAATCACAAGTATTTTATTTACTATACTTTTCTATATTTACGTGTTATATATATTTTTTTACCAATCTAATCACTAATTCTAATTTTATTTTGCTTCTTAAATTCACAGCTAATTTTATTTCTATTTGACATTCGTATTCTTAAAAAGGCAATTACTACCAGAAATATTTATGTGCCTGTAACTAATAATTCTCTTAAATATAATGAACTCATTTTCAGAGCACACAAAACATCTCTAAGGCTAAATGGTGTTCATCATCCCCATAACATAACAAGAAACGTGGACCGAATTATACTAAAATGGGACGGAAACGTACTGAGCTTATTGAAGTGAATTTTAAGGAATATGATCGAATAAGCATGAAGCTTCCCTTCACAACACCTATTCTTCACATCGCTAGCTACTGGTTTCCTCTGATTTGATTCTATATTTATGATCACAACCTATAATAATAGAAGTTTATACTATCAAAGCATGTGAGTGGAACCAAATTAGTGTTACAATTGTCCACTCTCACATGCTAATAGTAACACGTATGTATGGAGGGTAGTGAGACTTCCATGTTGATCATAGAAGTGTTTAGGTGAGCCTCCAAGTGTACTTTATCATGCATGTTAGCACTTTCATTTAACTGCTAGTATAATTATTACAGAGTAATATTTATTATTTGGTTAATAATAATTTAGCAAGTTTTAGAATCGATGAGAAAGTATATTAATTTGAATTTACGTCACCGACTAGACCGGATTTTGGGGATATTACAGCTCATCACCTAAGAACTCCAAAGTTAAGCGTCCTTGCATGTGAGTAGGGTTGGACTCGGGCCGAACCGGGTCGGGTCCGGGTAGGGCTTAGGCCCGGGCGGTTTAGGAATGGTGGAATTGGGACCGGCCCGGGTAGCTACCGGGTCCGGTCCAGGCCGAACCTTCGGTTTGATTTTTTTTTTTTGCTTTCCTAACCCCCCCCCCCCCCCACCCTCCCAAACTCCCCCAAACCCCTCCTAACCATCAACCTCAACTCGGGTGGAACCCAAAAAAATGAAAAAAATCAATTTGGCCCCGACCCGGGCGTGACCTGACCGAGCCGGTTCGCCAAATGTGAGACCCGAGCCCGGACCCGCACTACCCACCGGCCCTAGGCCCGACCCGGACTCGGACCCGAGAACCGGGCTGGTCCCGGTCCCGCACAGTAGCGGGCCGGGCCGGTTCACGGGCCGAGCGACCCAACCCGAGTCCAACTCTACATGTGAGTAGTTTTTGGATGGTGATCCTGGAAAGTTTTTCGGGACGCGCATGAGACAAAATGGGCGAAAAAGGTTCGTGGATGACAGTATTAAGTCTCATCACAAACCTACGAATAGCATATGTTGCCATAGATATAGATCTGAAACTGTCGTCATTCATAGCCCTCGTCACTCGCCGGTCGGAATCGCCTTTTCCACCTGTAGTTTGTGCCACTATGTGTCTATCATCAACACAAATCGGACAGAAAAGAGAGGAGAAGAAGACGGGGTGCAGATAGCGAGGCGGTGGCGATGTAGATACGGCGGTGGCGGCGAACACTATGATGACGATTCCGGCTGGCAGTTGTGGCGGAGAACGGAGCTACGAAGCTGGACGTTTGCGGCTAGCAACTGGGGCGGAGAACTGCGCAGGGAGGCTTGAAGAAGAAAAATGAGGGATTATGCTTTTTTTTTAGGATTTATATGAGGGCATTTCGGTCTCTCTAACTAGTTCACTCTCTTTTTTGTCCTAAATGAGACCCGGCTCTTGTTTTTGTCTATTCATAAGCTGAAGGTATTAGGACTCCTAATTTTTGGACTCCTAATTTTGTTGGCTAAATTAGACC